TTCAATTTCAGTGCTTGTGATTGGTCTGTTTATATTTTCTGTTTCTTCCTGGTTCAGTCTTGGAGGGTTGTGCTTTTCTAAGAATTTTTCCATTTCTTCCAGGTTGTCCATTTTATTGGCATATTGTTGCTTGTAGTAATATCTCATGATTATCTCCATTTTATTGGCATATTGTTGCTTGTAGTAATCTCTCATGATCTTTTTTATTTCTGCAGTGTCAGTTGTTACTTCTCCTTTTTCATTTCTAATTCTATTGATTTGAGTCTTCTCCCTTTTTCTCTTGATGAGTCTGGCTAATGGTTTATCAATTTTACCTTCTCAAAGAACCAGCTTTTAGTTTTATTGATCTTTCCTGTCGTTTCCTTCATTTCTTTTTCATTTATTTCTGATCTGATCTTTATGATTTCTTTCCCTCTGCTTACTTTGGGGATATTTTGTTCTTCTTTCTCTAATTGCTTTAGGTGTAAGGTTAATTTGTTTATTTGAGGTGTTTCTTGTTTCTTGAGGTAACATTCTATTGCTATAAACTCCCCTCTTAGAACTGCTTTTGCTGCATCCCATGGGTTTTGGGTCATCATGTTTTCATTGTCATTTGTTTCTAGGTATTTTTTAATTTCTTTTTTGATTTCTTCAGTGATCTCTTGGTTATTTAGTAGTGTATTGTTTAGGCTCCATGTGTTTGTATTTTTTTACAGATTTTTTCCTGTAATTGATATCTAGTCTCATAATGTTGTGGTTGGAAATGATACTTGATATGATTTCAATTTTTTAAATTTACCAAGGCTTGATTTGTTACCCAAGATATGATCTATCCTGGAGAATGTTCCACGCGCACTTGAGAAGAAAGTGTATTCTGTTGTTTTGGGATGGAACGTCCTATAAATATCAATTAAGTCCATCTTGTTTAATGTATCATTTAAAGCTTGTGTTTCCTTATTTATTTTCATTTTGGATGATCTGTCCATTGGTGAAAGTGGGGTGTTAAAGTCCCCTACTATGACTGTGTTACTGTCGATTTCCCCTTTTATGGCTGTTAGCATGTGCCTTAGGTATTAAGGTGCTCCTATGTTGGGTGCATAAATATTTATAATTGTTATATCTTCTTCTTGGATTGATCCCTTGATCATTATTTAGTGTCCTTCTTTGTCTCTTGTAATAGTCTTTATTTTAAAGTCTATTTTTTCTGATATGAGAATTGCTACTCCAGCTATCTTTTGATTTCCATTTGCATGGAATATCTTTTTCCATCCCCTCACTTTCAGTCTGTATGTGTCCCTAGGTCTGAAGTGGGTCTCTTGTAGACAGCATATATACAGGTCTTGTTTTTGTATCCATTCAGCCAGTCTATGTCTTTTGGATGGAGCATTTATTTAATCCATTTACATTTAAGGTAATTTTCGATATGTATGTTCCTTAATTGTTTTGGGTTTGTTATTGTAGGTCTTTTCCTTCTCTTGTGTTTCCTGCCTAGAGAAGTTCCTTTAGCATTTGTTTTAAAGCTGGTTTGGTGGTGCCTAATTCTGTTAGCTTTTGCTTGTCTGTAAAGGTTTTAATTTCTCCATCCAATCTGAATGAGATCCGTGCTGGGTAGAGTAATCTTGTTTGTAGGTTTTTCCCTTTTATCACTTTAAATATGTCCTGACACTCCCTTCTGGCTTGCGGAGCTCCTGCTGAAAGATCAGCTGTTAACCTTTTGGGGATTCCCTTGTATGTTATTTGTTGCTTTTCCCTTGCTGCTTTTAATATTTTTTCTTTGTGTTTAATTTTTGATAGTTTGGTTAATATGTGTCTTGACATGTTTCTCCTTGGATTTATCCTGTATGGACTCTCTGTGCTTCCTGGACTTGATTGACTATTTCCTTTCCCATGTTAGGGAAGTTTTCAACTGTAATCTCTTCAAATATTTTCTCAGTCCCTTTTTTTCTCTTCTTCTGGGACCCCTATAATTCAAATGTTGGTGCGTTTAATGTTGTCCCAGAGGTCTCTGTGACTGCCCTCAATTCTTTTCATTCTTTTTTCTTTATTCTGCTCTGCAGTAGTTATTTCCACTATTTTATCTTCCAGGTCACTTATCTGTTCTTCTGCCTCAGTTATTCTGCTATTGATTCCTTCTAGAGAATTTTTAATTTCATTTATTGTGTTGTTCATCATTGTTTGTTTGCTCTTTGGTTCTTCTGTGTCCTTGTTAAACGTTTCTTGTATTTTCTCCATTCTATTTCCAAGACTTTGGATATCTTTGCTATCATTACTCTGAATTCTTTTTCAGGTAGACTGCCTATTTCCTCTTCATTTGTTTGGTCTGGTGCGTTTTTACCTTGCTCCTTCATCTGCTGTATGTTTCTCTGTCTTCTCATTTTGCTTAACTTACAGTGTTTAGGGTCTCCTTTGTGCAGCCTGCAAGTTTGTAGTTCCCGTTGTTTTTGGTGTCTGCCCCCAGTGACTAAGGTTGGTTCAGTGGGTTGTGTAGGCTTCCTGGTGGAGGGGACTGGTGGCTGTGTTTTGGTGGATGAGGCTGGATCTTGTCCTTCTGGTGGGCAGGACCGCATTCGGTGGTGTGTTTTGGGGTGTCTGTGAACTTATTATGATTTTAGGCAACCTCTCTGCTAATAGGTGGGGTTGTGTTCCTATCTTGCTATTTGTTTGGCATAGGATGTCCAGCACTGTAGCTTGCTGGTTGCTCAGTGGAGTTGGGTCTTAGTGTTGAGATGGAGATCTCTGTGAGAGCTTTCGCTGTTTGATATTACGTGGAGCTGGGAGGCCTCTGGTGGACCAGTGTCCTGAACTTGGCTCTCCCACCTCAGAGGCTCAAGCCTGACACCTGGTCAGAGCACCAAGACCCTGTCAGCCGCACGGCTCAGAAGAAATGTGAGAAAAAATAAATAAATAAAGTTATTAAAATAATAAAACTTATTAAAAATAAAAAGGTAATAAAAAAAGAAAGAAAGAAGAGAGCAACCAAACTAAAAAACAAATCCACCAATGATAACAAGCGCTCAAAACTATACTAAAAAAAAAACGGACAGACAGAACCCTAGGACAAATGGTAAAAGCAAAGCTATACAGACAAAATCACACAAAGAAGCATACACTTACACCCTCAGAAAAAGAGAGAAAGGAAAAAAATATGTATATATATATTAATAAAAAAAAGGAAGAGAGCAACCAAATCAATAAACAAATCTACCAATGACAATAAGCTCTAAATACTAAAGTAAGATAAACATAAAGCCGGAAACAAATTAGATGCAGAAAACAAACCCCAAGTCTACAGTTGCTCCCAAAGTCCACCACTTCAATTTTGGGTTGATTCGTTGACTATTCAGGTATTCCAGAGATGATTTGGAGATTTAATCTGCTGCTCCTGAGGCTGCTGGGAGAGATTTCCCTTTCTCTTCTTTGTTCGCACAGCTCCTGGGGTTCAGCTTTGGATTTCGCCCCTCCTCTGCGTGTAGGTTGCCCTCTGGCGTCTGTTCCCCGCCCAGACAGGACGGGGTTAAAGGAGCAGATGATCTGGGGGCTCTGCTCGCTCAGACCGGGGAGAGGGAGGGGCACGAAATGCGGGGCGAGCCTGCGGCGGCGGAGGTCAGTGTGATGTTGCCACAGCCTGAGGCGCGCCGTGTGTTCTCCCGGGGGAGTTGTACCTGGATCCCGGGACCCTGGCAGTGGCGGGCTGCACAGGCTCCCGGGAGGGGAGGTGTGGAGAGTGACCTGTGCTTGCACGCAGGCCTCTTGGTGGCGGCAGCAGCAGCCTTAGCGTCTCATGCCCGTCTCTGGTGTCCGCGCTGTTAGGCGCGGCTCGCGCCCGTCTCTGGAGCTCATTTAGGTGGTGCTCTGAATGGGAGTATTGAGTAGTGTGTGGAGCTGTATTTTCTGTACATTAAATGGCTCCCAATCATTTTGTCCACTTTAGTTTTGATACCTGTTGTATACATTTTAGGCTTTTTCTTTGCTCTTACTGTTTGATGCTGCCATTGTCCTTTCTCTACTTGTATCTCTACCCCACTTTGTAGTTCACTGCTCATGAACTAATAGAGGCCAGTTAAAAAGATAATTAAGCTTGCTTGACCATGCTGTTAAGATCGTATGAAAAAAAGACAAAGTGGCATCTGTGTAAGCAAAGCAAGTGGTCTGCTCAGTCATTTTTACCTCCTTCCAAATTCTTGTGTATGTTTCTTGATCATTGAGGTCACCAGATAAGTGACCTTAAGCTAGGTACAGTGCTTCTATAACTGTATTTACTGTAATGCTTGGTCATTCTCATATACCAAAGGTAGGATTACAGATTTTTGATATGTCTTACTATTTAATAATATGTAACACAAAACTGTGACTGAAATAGTCCAGGCTCAGGGCAGTGTTGAAGTTAAAAGACGATGAGCCCATTGGCCAAAATTAGTTGTTTACTTGCCATACAGAGGAAATACATTGATTACAGAAAGATTCCTTCTCTTGCTCATCAATGTCCTACAATATCACAGTGTTTTTCATCACATTCATTCCTAAACCTCTGTGTTCTGCTCTAGTGCCAGCTGCTGTGGTTAACCTCTCCCCTCCTTTCCTCCCAATTCTACATGACAACACTCAAGATAGTTAACTTTTTTAATTGTAAATTATTTTGAGATAAATTTTTATGTTATGACTCACAAGGCGTTGCACAATCATACGCAGAGGTCCCATGTACACTTCACCTGGCTTCCCCCAGTGAATATCTTACAGAACCGCAGTACATTACCAAAACCAAGAAGCTGACAGTGACACATTTCTGCTGACTCAGGCACGCTGGTTACTCAGATTCCACCAGCTTTCACATGCAGTTCAAGAACCTCAGTTTTGTAAGGCAGGACCCCCCTTGGAAGGTGGGGAAGAGAATGACACCAACAGTACCAAACTAGAATCTCGAACAGGTGATTTAGAAGGAAAGAAGAGAGAGGTTAGATGTATACAAATAACTTTTGACCCATCACAGTTAAACTGATTTTTTCCTCGTGTTTTTTACCAAGGGAAAACCTGGTACCTCAGGACCACCTGGCAGCAAAGGAGAAAAAGGTGACCTGGTTGTATCAAGAGTGAAAGGTGGGCATAATCAATCAGCTCCCTGCCATTTTCTGAATGATGTATGAACCGTTCTCTTGCATTAATTTCTCCTGTGACTGCAGATGAATTCTATAATAAGATTTGGGACTGTTGCGCTTGCTTAAAAAAAATACTCCCTGCCCTTCAGGGTCGTGTGAATGTTGAGCCTAAATCCTGTGCTCAAATCCTCGTTGTTGTGAATTGGGTTTGAAACAAGACCTCCTTTGGTTTGCCTAGCATTTATTCACTGCATTCTAGTATCCTGTATTAATCAAGAATATTTTGGTTGTAAGCGACAAAAACCCAGCTTGAAGTAGTGTTTTTAGAGAAGTAATTTATTGACTTAAACAAAATTTGAAAGGTTAGGTGTATGGTTTGCACCGGGACGACTGCATGAGAAGGCTGTCTCGGCATCTTGCATCTTTCTTTGCACCATCTGCATTTTCGCCCTGTCTGGTTTTCTCTGGGCTATGGGTACATGCCCCCAGGTAGCTCCAAGTTCTTACAGTCAGAGGTGAAAGAAAACTCTACCTCTTTCTGCCCCAGTTAGAATAAAAAAGGTCCAGGAAGGACTGGATTAGCCTGGGGCATGGGCCCAACCATGGACCATTCCCCCACTCACTATGGCCAGGGGATGGCATACCGTGTTTGGTGTCACACAAGCAGAGGAAGATGCTGTAGGGATTGGCACCTCCACACACAACCTCCTTGTCAGAACAGGAAAAGAAACATTTCCCAAATAAGAGATTCAATGGGTTTGGCAATTGTCAGTCTCCCCTTTGACTTTTGCATGATGGTCTTCGTGTGACTTTAGTCAACTGAGACGCTCAGAGGAACCTCTGCCAGCCCAGGGTCATGGTCATTGCCTTTATCTTTAGTCCTTTGTTTCCTTCTACTTATTCCATTGCTGAGAAGGGCTTGACTCTTTCGGCCTTTGTTACCAGGGCATAAAGGAGAAAGAGGTCCTGATGGGCCCCCAGGATTTCCAGGGCAGCAGGGACAACACGGTCGAGATGGATATGCTGGAGAAAAAGGGGACCCAGGACCGCTGGTGTGTATAATTCTTCTCCTGCTATAGTTTCACTCTCTTACATGGTCACAAAGCATCTGTTTTCCCCTTCTCAGTTTAAAAAAGCTGAACAGTAACGTGTCAACGTGCTGTAAATCAGTCACCTTTGATTCCCTGCCACAAAAAGAGGGCTGTTACAAAAGGTATGGCTTATTGCAGATGGTCTGAAATCCCGAGTGAAGTTCATCATAGCAAGAGTTTCTCTCCCTAGTCTTTATATTATTCTCGTGGTGCTTATTTCCTTCTGGGGCCCTTGTCTCTACAGAGCCCGCACTGGTTTCAGGTCTGTTCAGTTGACTCTGTAGCGTGGAGGATAGCACACAGGTCCTGATAATTACCTTCAGTTCTGTTCTCTGATGAAGAAGCACATGAGGGGAAGTGGCAAGCAAGAAAGGATGAACTAGTGCAGATCCACTGGATAGACATATTGGCTGATGGAAGGTCCCACTGATAAATGATAATTCTGCATTTTTCAGACATGTTTTGGGTGGAGTCCACGTGTAGCTGATGAAGTTCATAAGAAAAGACTGTGAGACATAAGCAGGAACTTAAAATATCTTGGCACATGAAGTAGTTCTGAATGCTTGCAATGCCACACAAACTGAGCTAGATGTTTTACTCGTAACTGTTGTCTTCTGAGGAACAATTATCTTTGAGAGTTTACAGTAAGGAGATGGAGGCTTAGGGTACGTTACTCAAGGTCAACAATCTCTCAAGTAGGCTAAGCAGGAGGGCAAACCCAGTCTTTCTTATTTCCAGTACATGCTGTTTCCACCAGATCATGCAGCCTGCCATTGAGAGTGTTGTAAAAAGGAAGGACCATGTTCTGATTTTATAGGACTCCTATCTGATAAAATACATGTGAATAAGAGACGGAAGTTTGGAAGTTGGGTTAGATGGTATTTATAGCTTTCTGGTCTTTCAGCGGATATTGAATATATAAATAATCTTCTCTGATTTAGATTTGGTAATCCCTGTTTCATTCATTCTTCCAATTAAGAAACTACAGTGGTCCCCCCTCATCCACAGGGGACATGGTGCAAGACCCCAAGTGGATGCCTGAAACCGTGGATAGTACCCGACCCCATACATACCTATGATACATACCTATGATAAAGTTTAATTTATAAATTAGGCCCTGTGAGAGATTAACAACTAATAATAAAATAAAACAATTATAACAATATACTGTAATACAATTTATGTGAATGTAGTGTCTCTCTCTCTCAAAATATCTTGTACAAATTTAATGCCTTTCCATCTTAACTAAGCACTTAGCAAGCACTGTGCCACGACTTCTGCAGGTTGCGGTGTGGCAGCAAAACTAGCACAAATTTCATTTTCCTTCTTCACAATCTCATGGATATAAAAGTCATTCTTACCTTAGATCTTAGCAACCTCAGCATACGATTCTTCTTTCTTTCCTTATTAAATTGAGAACGTGCACCTTTTCACTTAGAGGAAGCGCTTTACAACTTCTCTTGGGCATATCTGAATTATCAGCGTCCCTTGTGCTCTGGGGCTGTTATTAAGTAAAATAAGGGTGACTTGCACACAAGCACTGCGATACCACTGCAGGCAATCTGATAACCAGACGCTGCTAAGTGACCGACTGAAGGATATGCTGGAGAAAGGGTTGATTCGCGTCCCTAGTGAGATGGAGCAGGACGGCTTCATCATGCTCCTCAGAACGGAGCGCAGTTTAAAACTTGTGAGTTGTTTATGTCTGGAATTTTCCATTTAATATTTTCAGACCGTGCCTCACTGAAACCTTGGAAAGTGAAACCGTGAATAAGCAGGGGACTGCTGTATTTAGAAACCAACGTCACTGAGTGATAAGTGTCATCATGTACTAACCTAACTGTGAAAAACCGAAGTGTATTTACAGATCAGATGGGGAGAGGAATTTCTATACCACCCGCTAGGGACGGGGGAATCTCTCTAGAGTTTCAGACTGAGTCTGAAACAATTCAGACTCATAGACCACATTTGGGACCAGGCCGCTCAGAAGGCTAGAAGGCGTGACCCTCAGCTTGCCTGCAGGGCAGTGTCAGGCGTTCCTCCTACACAGGAGTCCTTGCAGCTTTTCGTTCAGTTGGGGTGAAGGCAATGAGATTCTCATATGCAGAAGTGTGAGCAGCCTGGACTTGAAAGCCTCCTTCTCCACAGGAGTGTTATCTCCACCACAGGGCTAGCTTGCGGGGACCCCACAAGGAACTTGCCAGTTACAGGAGCCACCTCTTAAGGAAGCCCTGACAAAGGCTCCACACAGGTCTTTATAGTTCTTCCAGACCACATGCAAGTTTTGCAGCCAGGGATTAATTTTACCATAAGCAATGTGGTCTAGTAGCGCAGTTGACATCCATTTTTATGCAGATTCCTGAAGAGCAGAACTAGACCCTTAACCAAAGGTCACATTCTTATGCAGGAGGAGAAAGGATTTGTCAGCCCTTGGCCCACAGAGGTGGAGGGCGACAAAGTCCCTCCCTGTGTCTTACAATAATGCAGAAAAAACGTTTCTAATAGATAAGAATTTATTTAGTTTGTAAGCCCACTACTTCCCTTAATGTATGCATTTCTATATTTTATTGTATTTGCTGTCACAGAGTGGTTCTAAATAAAATTTCTTATTCTGTATTTAAGACGTAACACATATAATTTTCTGTTTTTGAATCATAAAGCACACATCAAGAGCATATATATGTCTGTAGATATGTATGTAAAACATTAAGAAGAATCTTAGTTAATCATTTAAAATTGCATTTGCTATTAAGTAACTTCTAGAATTAACTGGCTTTCTGCATGCATTTTTGTAGCCTACAGTGACAATGACTGCTTTGAGTTCATGGCCTTTCAGAGGTTGGTGATTGACTCTTGATGCAAATGTTCTCAGGGAGATCATGAAGATGCAGCCCCAGGTGATAAAGGGCCTCCTGGACCACCAGGCCCCCCGGGCAGAGCAGGACCTAGGGGGCCTCCGGGACTGGGATTTCCTGGTCCACCAGGAGAGAGAGGGCAACCAGGAGCTCCAGGCTGCCCAGGCAAGAGGGGCCCTGATGGCTTGAAGGGTCAGAAAGGTAATTTTGAATGTTTTTGTGGCAGAATGTCAAGTGAAATCATGGATGCTAAAGTAAGCTTCTCTTCTGGGCAAAGTTATTACAGTTAGGGTAGAACCTCTAAAATAAAATTCCCACAATTCACTGTTCAAACCTTGAATGTTGTCAAACAAATAAAAGCATTACAGCACAATCAATACTTAAAACAAATCTTTAAAATGCTAAGATGTCTTTGCTGTTTTATTGGTTTGGCAAATTGCCTTTCATTCATTTCTCAGTATCAATGTGGACAATCTGACTTAAAATTACATACATGTATATATTCAAAATCTCTCCTTTTTTACTATCTTTTGAGATTATGCATTTTATTTGAATAAAACCACTAATATTTCATTTTAAAAATACAGCATTGTCCATGAAAACCCATTTGTAGGCCTTCTAGGGAGAAAAAAAGGAGGGATTTTAAATATATTTGACAGTTATTTGGATTTCAAACAATAAAGTGACTTGTAGTTTTATAGCTGAAAACTTTTTAAAAGTTTGGAAAAAGATTGATTTAAGATTCTTCTCTTTTGTAATATGTGCATATGACTTGAGGTACGTAGGTACTTGTGAAATTTTATAATATAATAATACGCTTGGTTCTTGCTTTGACAACATAGAAAGACGAATACCTTGGAATTTGATATGGTTTAAGATCATGGTCTGGAACCATCAAAATATAACATTATTTTTATTCATATGGTACATTTTTTATTTAAGAGCTTATGGTGTAATACATTATGAGATGAAATTTCTGTTATAAAAGGGAAACATTCCATTTTAAAGGAGAAGAAAACTCAGAGCACCACTTTGAAATTTTATTTTCTTTACCAAGTGAAATGAAGGATGACAAAACCACATTGCAAAGTCATTAGAAAAACAAGAGCCAGTATATATATATATATTTTTAATAAATTTATTTATTTTATTTTTGGCTGCGTTTTGTCTTCATTGCTGCACACGGGCTTTCTCTAGTTGCAGTGAGTGGGAGCTACTCTTCGTTGCGGTGCACGGGCTTCTCATTGCGGTAGCTTCTCTTGTTGCAGAGCACGGGTTTTAGGCGTTTAGTTGTGGCACATGAGCTCAGTAGTTGTGGCTCGCAGGCTCCAGAGCACAGGCTCAGTAGTTGTGGCACATGGGCTTAGTTACTCCACCACATGTGGGATCTTCCCCGACCAGGGCTCAGGCCTGCGTGCCCTGCATTGGCAGATGGATTCCCAACCACTGGGCCACCAGGGAAGCCCCCAGAGACAATATATTTGAAGCACCTGACCCATGGCAGGCCCTCAGTAAACAGAAGCTGTTATTAGTATCTCTCCCAGTCTCTTCATTTGCGCAATTCCCCCACATCCAAGCTAGGAGTCAAATCTTGGGAACTCAGTGTTGGATACTTGCTGCTACTTCATGATTTATCAAAGCTTCTGATTCCATTGTAGTAGACATCCATGGGTCTATACATCCATTATTTTTTGTAGGTTATTAAAGTGATATTTCTTGGAATCAATATTTTTCTTATTCCCCTTCTATTACTGTCTGACAGTTGAAGTTCAGATTTCAGGACAGATCTTCTAGAAATTCAAAATAAACGTAGTTCAAGTGACCTAATGAGACTCGAGAGTCTTCTTTTCCTTTGAATTCCACATATACCTTATGAAGAAGTATCTTGATCGAGTTGTCATTGAGATTCACGTTGCATTGGACCATCAATTATGTGAACGCCAATCTTTTTTTTTTCATTCCAGGTGATACAGTTCCTTGTAACGTAACCTACCCTGGGAGGCCAGGCCCGCCAGGTTTTGATGGACCTCCAGGTACGATCAAGGAGAAGTTACTGTCATACACATTCCCAACTAAAAGAACTGGTAAGACAGATAAACCAATAGCAAATCCTCAGGAACTATTTAGGATATTTCTACCCTGATTATAAAGTTTTGAGGGACTACGGGAAACACCATTTGTAGCCATTCCTCTTGGGTCGCCAGTCCACCAAACCCACTCTGAATAATATTTCTGTGCAACAAAATTTACCTGGATTTGATCACATATCAGCAAAAATGATCGCCTTTTGAGCATTTTAAAACTATATCTTCTTTCTTTACTTGTGCCCCGAGAGTGAAAATTGATTACTTGCTTACTGATTATAAGTTTTACTCTATTCTGCTTTCCAAGAGACCCAAATATCTGACCAGAAACATTCTGAAAAGTGCCCACGCATCTGCACCCCTGATTACACTTTCATACAACCACTGCACTTGACTCAGTCACATATTTATAGCTGAATTAAACCCTAGATCTATGTAAGGGATTTTGTCTAATTCTTTTTTATTTATTTAGAGTTCACTTAAATTGACCTGTTAAGTACTGGCATGGCCACTAAAGGTCACCTTTCTTGTTCTACGTAACTATCAATACAAAAAGTGTTTAAGCATTGAATGATGAATGGCTCTCTATTGCCCTCTATAACCACTGGCTTTCACGATGGTGTAGTGTAACAGCCTCCAAATTGCAGTGGGCTTTAACAAATAATATTTAGTTTCTCTCTATGAGTCTGTCGTTCAGCTGATCTAAGATGGTGTCTATCGGCTTCGTGCCTGGTCCTGGGTCAGGTCAGGTCTGCAACGGGCATCTCACTGTGAGGCCAGGGTGTGCTCTGCTCCTGTGGTTGCAGAAATACCAGAGGGTGGGGCCCAGCTTCACTTGCACTGTTCACACCTCTCATTACTTCATGGTGTTACTATCCTATTGGCCAAAGCAAGTCACATGGCCAAGCCCCGGGTCAAAGTGTGGGAAATACGGGCCACCCACCACAAGGCAGTGGCAAGGGTGTGGAAATATAATTCTGTATCAGTGGAGTGAAGAATGGTTGGTTGACTGATTGTACGTTCATCTTCACATTTGCTGGTACCTCGTCGTGGATGGATAAAAAGCACGCGTGGTCGCTTCCAGCAGCTTCAGCCTCAAGGGAAGTGAACACGCAAAGTTTCAGCTAGCAGTTGCATCTCCTTTGAAGTTCATGATTTATAAGTTATTTTTGCTTAGAGAACTCCTTGTAGGAAAACACAGAAGGTTTTAAAAAAAATCTCAATTCGTTTTGCAGGTGCTTTTTTTTTTTTTTTTTCCCGGTACGTGGGCCTCTCCCGTTGCGGAGCACAGGCTCCGGACTCGCAGGCTCAGTGGCCATGGCTCACGGGCCCCGCTGCTCCGCGGCATGTGAGATCCTCCCCGACCGGGCACGAACCCGTGTCCCCTGCATTGGCAGGTGGACTCTCAACCACTGTGCCACCTGGGAAGCCCAAATGAGCTCGTTATTTATTTATTTATTTATTTTGCGGTACACGGGCCTCTCACTGCTGCGGCCTCTCTCGTTGCGGAGCACAGGCGCAGCGGCCATGGCTCACGGGCCCAGCTGCTCCGCAGCATGTGGGATCTCCCCGGACCGGGGCACGAACCCGCGTCCCCTGCATCGACAGGCGGACTCTCAACCACTGCGCCACCAGGGAAGCACTTGCAGGTGCTTTTTGCCTGTACTTCATTTAAGGGCAAATGCAGTAAGATGCAGGGAAATAGACTTGGTCTTTATTCTGGTGCTTTCTCATCAAGCCACACACTGGCCACCACCTCTGTCCTCTTACAAGGAAGGGTATCCTCACATATTTGTGTTTGAGACTCAGCATGGGAAGGTATCAAAAGATTCATCTGAATGGTGGTGTACGTCCCAAAGGCTTTCAGAAAGAATTCTTTGCAGTATGGCTTCTGAGAAAGTACCTTAACTCAATCTCTATGAAAAGCTTATTTGGAGCACAAGACTTATAAAAACCAGGCTAGGCACCACCTATACTTCCATAAAGTAGAAATACCCTAAGAAAGAATTAACATAGATTTTATTTTAAAAATCATCTTATTTTGTCCTCATTTGATTTTATTGTATCTGTGTTTTGTTGTTTTTGTTTAGGTCCAAAGGGATTTCCAGGTCGTCGGGGAGCTCCTGGGTTGAGGTGTCTGGATGGGGAAAAGGGTCAACGTGGCAAACCAGGAATCTCAGAAATACCTGGTCCACCTGGTAAATAAGGGCTTTTCATTTAGGAATGTCTCATGATCTTAGTCAGCAAATGGCCCAGGGATCCCTAGATGGTGGGAGAATGGTTTTTCTTGATATAGTAAGCTCTTAGCTATGTTTCGATAACTTCTAGGTTATGATACTTTTGTGATGTCTCAGGGCTCCTTAAACCTGGAGCATGAGTTATAGACTATTATGTTATGTTGTAGGAACTGCTCAGTCTAGACAGACTCTTTGCTGGTAAGTGAAAGCAATTAGGGAAACGTCATTGGCTTATAGGAAACACGGAGTTACAATTCATTTTCTGACAAAAGGTGAGAAAAAACAATATTGCCTCTTAAGTTACTCCTAATTTTAGTAAGTATCCCTGTATCTTAAAACAATGTGTTTTTATCAAAGTAGTAGTCTTATATGTGTGTTGGTTCTATATCTGTACATGTAACAATTTAAACAATTTTTTGTTCAATAGGTTTTCATGGTGATATGGGAGATCCAGGTTTTGGAGGTGAAAAGGGGTCCTCCCCTGTCGGGCCCCCAGGCTCTCCAGGTTCACCTGGAGTGAATGGTCAGAAGGGACCTCTGGGAGACTCTGCTATTGGCTACCCAGGACCCCCAGGAAAGAGGGGTCTTTTAGGAGTACCAGGGTCAAAAGGACTCAGAGGTGATCCTGGACGACCGGGGGCTGCAGGTATGAGGGCTGTGCTCTTCCTGTGGTCCATAAAGCCCGCTCAGTTCTGAAACAGGTCCCTGAAGAGTGTCTAGACTATCTTGCCTTAAAAATCTAGAACTTAAAATTTTCAGTCAAGCATCTTCCTTCATACATGGGCATTGGTTACATTTCTAATAACCTGCATCCGCAGTGTTGCCTTTGCATTTTATTGGTGGTTTTCACACCCAGCTCACCGTGGCTCAGTCTGTTCAGTTTGATTCAGCAGCTACCGGACATCTGCCTGCTTTGGACTCCAGGACAGTATGTTAGCTCCGAGGGGCAGGGAGATCAGCCCACTGCCATTGCCAGGCTGAAGGAGGGCAGGACAGGCTGTCAGAGAAGAGCAGCTCCGTGGGGCAAAGCAGGGTGGGCTGGCATTCAAAGGAAAGCTCTGGGGGAGAGCTAGGCACGAGCTGAGTCCTGGCAGACGCTGTGTTCTTTGGACAGGTGAAAGGATAGAGGGACTTTCATTCCAGCAGGGGTAGCAGGCAGGGCAGTGAAACTTAAGATGGGGAGATGGCCCTGGCACTGAGTCACATCCTTTTCTGAAATCGTTATGGATTCTTCAGGATCCCCAGCAGAGGTTTTCAGATTTTCATGTACTTAAAAATACCACGCCCCCCAAAAAACAGGGGTAGAGTTGGGGGTCATTAACATCACCGTCTTCTGGGCCCCAATCTAGGAAATTGTGATTCATGACATCAGAACTGGGTGGAGCCCAGCAGTCCAGTCTGAATTTCAACCCCTGGGGGATGGTGACGAAAAGTGGACCCCAGATCAGACTTTTACAAACAGTGTTCTGGTTCTTTTCTAATGATGGATGGGCCAGTGTTTATTAGGTACCCATGATAGTACAATAGTACAGGGAAAATGGAAGGCGGGGAAATAAGCCACATTCTTGGTCCTCAGAGAGCTTATCCAATAGTTTGTAAGTCAGAAGCTTTCATATACAAAAACCCATTTAATTGGAACGTAACAAGATAATACATTATGTGAGTCAATGAAAATAATTTTGTCCCAGTAATCCCACTATCTCACTTGTGAAATGTATTTAAGGGAAGAATTCAACAGGAGATGGTTAGTACGAAAATACTGTTGCAGTATTATTCACAGTAGAGGAACAATTGAAAACAGTAAAGAGAGCTAAGTAATACGTACATACACATACTCACACACCACACTCAAAGGAATACTATTCAGCTATTAACAATTAAAATTATATTTGCAAAGATTACAATAAAATGGAAAACATTTGCATATTAACATGCAATATGAAATAACCCAACAAATGAAAGTGCACTGGGATTACTATTTTAAAAATGCAAACATATGAACCAAAATACAATGAAAACATTAAACAATAAAATAGATTTTTAGGTTAGGGTGTAGAATTATGGAAGACTTTTTTCCCCCTGAAGATCATGATGCTATCTTTCCAACAAATACAAATTTTGAGAGTTGGAATGATGAAATCGTTTACAGAATGCAAATTCAGACAGTACAAACTGGGCGTGCAAGCATTGTGGTGGTTTGGGGTACAGCCTGCCGCAATGTTAGAGGCTAATGGAAATCAGGAAGAACTGCATGGATTTTTAATTTGCATAAGCAACTTCTACATTGTCTACATAACCTTATCAAGTAATTCTCTTAGCAATGCATGGTTTTACCGTGCACTTGGAGCTCACTATCATCTATGATAAGAAAATCCATTCAGAGGCTTAACTCATTGGAGCCCAGAGCCGGGATCAAAATGTTTACCTCCAGTATTGATATACATGAATACCACTGTAGGCCGTCTATGTAGTGTTATGCCCTCAGTGTCACAGATGAACTGTATCATTTCAGGGCCAGCTGGCATGCCCGGATTCCCGGGTCTCAAAGGTCCCAAAGGGAGAGAGGGAAGTGCTGGGTTTCCAGGGATCCCAGGTCCACCCGGCCATTCCTGTGAAAGAGGCGCTCCAGGGAGACCAGGGCCACCAGGGCTCCCTGGAGCTCCAGGAAGTCCAGGTAAGTGTCGGCAGGTGTCAAGAACTGTGACAGGTGTGGGGTTTACCCTACTTACAGAGGAATAAGCTCACCTGTTGCTCTTTTACGGCTGCTGGCAGAAGCAAGATTCTTGGGTCAGAAACAAAGGATTTGATTATTTATGGCACTGCAAGTAGCAGGAGTTTCATGTTGGTTTGTGTCATTTCCTTGTGTCACCCAAGTGTCTCTGGGGTGATATAAGAGGGGCTAGTGGATGCCGCACACATGGTGGGTTGCAGTTTCTGAGCCTGAGATACAACAGCTATACATTAATCTGCAAGACAGCTTGCTTTTCTTACTGAGGGAGACACTGTATCTGTCAGGCTGCTCGCTGCCAACACAACCTTGAGAAATAGCCCGAGTGAGGATGGGTCAGGACCCTCTGTTCTTGGAATACCCAGCAAGACATCAAAGAGACCCATGAGAAAGTGTCTCTCAATACAAGGTGCTGGGGGGCTGTTTCCAATATGATCTTTATTTCACCATCCAGATTGTCACCTGTTATTTCAATTCTGCTGTGTTTATCCACATGCAAGAATACACCCTCTCAAAGGATCAAAACGAGATTGGAGCAAACCCTGCCACTACAGCTTTGTTTTTAATCACCAGTAATTCTAGATGACGTTGGTGATTCCTATAATGCTCTCATTACAAAGTGAACAGCTTGACCAAAATTCACTTGGCTGTAGCTTTAAGAAGCACCTGGAATGTTTTCTCCTATTAGTTCCCACCCTCTCCCCACCCAAAAGTAAATATAAATTCTTTACCCTTATCCACTTTCCATTTTAAAAGACTTTATAATGCATCTCAACTGGGAAATATTTATTCAAGTAATCTGCCTTTCTTTTTATAGCAGCCAGAAAAATATATACTTAGACTGATGGAGAGTCGCTACTGGGATTTTAGCTGATAAATATTGTTTACTTGGCCACAGATACACAATTTAAGCTGTGGATTTTTTTCCTGCCCGTGTGTGAAGCCAGTTCTCAGTCTTCCTACACTGTTGTCACTGCGGTTTGTCACAGGTGCCCCAGGTTGGAAAGGACAACAAGGGGACATGGGGCCTCCTGGGCCCGCTGGAATGAAGGGCCTCCCCGGAGTCCCAGGACGGCCAGGGGCAGATGGACCCCCAGGGCCCCCGGGAGTCCCAGGCCCCAGTGGGGATGATGCGCTACCTGGTCTTCCAGGCCCAAAGGGTGGGTATTGCTTTTCCATTATTCCGCCCCCCCCCCGCCATTTTGTAAACCTGAAATCCACTGCCAGGTGAAGATAATTACAGGTGACCATACTGTGGAGTTTACTGGTATATTAGCCTGACTTGGTCCTTTCCTGTGTGACTTCTCCCTTCTTCTTGTCTTCTGTATTGTGATTTCCAGGGGCAGAGTGTTCTGGTTTAGGTAAACAGGAGTGTTGGGGGGAGGGGTTAGGTCCACAGAACCTACACACACTTCTGCCCGGAGGACTGGGTGGTACTGATGGAGGGGGGAGGTCAGGGCTGATGTGCTTCCACTTTGGATGGGGCCCTCCCTCCACCTTCCCTCCTTACCCCCCTCCCTCCCCCCACCCTCCCTCCCTCCCTCCCTCCCTCCCCAATACCCAGTTCTCTATTTTTTTTTTTTTTAGGCACTACCTGTGTGCCAAGGCCCAGACCAACATCTTTGAACTTCTGCTTCTTTCTTTTTAAAATTTATTTATTTTATTTATTCATTTTTGGCTGCATTGGGTCCCCGTTGCTGCATGCGGGCCCTCCCTAGTTGCGGAGAGTGGGGACTGCCCTTCATTGTGGTGTGCAGGCTTCTCATTGTGGTGGCTTCCCACTGCGGAGCACAGGCTCCAGAGCGCAGGCTCAGCAGCTGTGGCACACGGGCCCAGCCGCTCCGCAGCATGTGGGATCCTCGCGGACCAGGGCTCGAACCCGTGTTCCCTGCATTGGCAGGCGGACTCTCAACCACTGCGCCACCAGGGAAGCCCAGTTCTCTTAAAGCTTTGTGGGATCTGGACTCAGAAGCATAAAGGCCTGCAGTTCAGATCTGTGGGGGGGAAAACTGAGGCTTGGATGGGACAGATTGTCTCTTAACAGGCGAGAGGCTGGTAGTGACTGTTCCCTTCAGCACAAGCTCAGAGTTAGGGGGAGTTCGCGTCTCCACGTGGACGGCAAGGAACACAGATCTAGGAACCGTACTAGCCTATAAAACTTTTCCCTAAAAATTCATGTTACTCCTCAGGACCCCAGGGGCTACCCGGCTTCCTGGGTTTTCCGGGAGAGAGAGGAAAACCTGGCCCGGACGGACACCCTGGCAGAAAGGGAGAACACGGAGAACAGGGTTGGCCCGGCTCCCTGGGAGACCGAGGAGTGAAAGGTGACAAAGGTAAACGCAGCTAATGGCACAGTGATGCAGCATAGATTGTTTTTAGTGTTTGACCAGAACCTGTAAGTATGATCCCTGAAAAAATAAAATGGAACTATCCTGCAGCTTGGATTCTGCTGCCTTTTGAATCTATGGTGTTTGTTTTAGGATTTTAAACAAAATGTATTTTCCTTTCCTCACAATCTTATCCCATATAACTATGGCAAATGAATTGCTCTATTAATAGAAAAAAATTAACAAGGGCTTTGACTTAGAGCTTTTGGGTTTCAGAAAACCTTCTCACCTTTTGGGAAGGGGGTGCAGGCAGGACTCCTGGTCCCCAAACCCTCCTTCAATTTTTTTAAATGAAAAAAACAGTTTTTTTGTTAAGGCCATATGGTCTCTGTCGAAATTACACAACTCAGCATTTGTAGCACAAAAGCAGCCTGAGACAACACGTAGACAAACAAACATAGCTGTGTTCTGGGAAAATTTTATTTATGGGCACTGAAACTTGAACTTCACTTAATTCCACATGTCATAAAGTATTATTCTTATTTTGAGTCCCCTCCCCCAATGATTTAAACGTGTGAAAGCCATTCACAGCTCATGGATTGTATAAAAACTGGCAGCAGGTGGGATTTGGCCTGTGGGCTGTAGTCTGCTGACCGCTGAACTAAATGAGTCCGCTTTCATCTGGGCCACGAATTGCATCTCTCCCAAGCTTCATTTAAAGAAAAGTTTCCATTACTATTTTTAAAAAAAGTTTCAAGACCACTGGTGTCAATGTTCTGTGCCCATCCCTGTTAAATATTTACTTTGATCTCTTAGCCATGAGGCTGTGGTGAGTGAAGGTAAGATTTCATTTCTAGTGTTAAGAATGAATGCTTGACAATTTCTAGAAACAAGGTTTTTGTCTTTAAAGCCCTTTGGGAAAATAGCCTCATATTTAATTCAAATTACTTTTAGTTGATTGATTCTACTATTAGTTTTTGTTTTACTAGCCTGTAAATTATTTATATAGAATCGAGGAATCAGAGTCATTCTCCGTTAGCTTAGATAAGTGATGTTTGCTGTGCTATTGTGCTTCTATATAATTATCCCACTAAAAATATTTAAAATTGGGTTAATGCCAGTGATGTTCTGGTAAGCTGGCTCTCTAAAATAAAGTTTTTAAAAAATGCCCTGATTACTACACTACAGTTTGCTGATTGCCAGGGTGTAAATACTCCCACCATAAATACGCTCAACATGACTGATTTAAAACTACCGATGGTTTAACAACTAGTTTACAAAATTCTTGACTTGTTACTAAGTGGCTCTCATCAAGCTGAGATGAGCCCACTCCAGCCCACATCTACAACTGGATAGTGTTTGCAGAAATCAGGAGAAATATTGTATATCCTCCCTACCTCTTAGAATTCTCTATGTGGAGAACCAAGTTAAGTGTCTGTTCTTTTAATGTAAGGAAAATATTGGAGGCTGGTTAGGAAGGGGAAGATAAGGAACTGGAAAATATGAGATGGACAATTCAAAATTTACAGGATAAAGAGATGTAGTTTTAAAAAATTTTATTGAAGTATAGTTGATTTATAATGTTGTGTTCATTTCTGCTCTACAGCAAAAGTGACTCAGTTATACACACATTCTTTTTCATATTCTTTTCCATTATGCTTTATCACAGGATATTGAATATAGTTCCCTGTGCTATATGGTAGGACCCCGCTGTTTATCCATTCTATATACATCAGTTTGCATCTGCTAATCCCAACCTCCCAGTCCTTCCCTCCCCCACTACTCTTTCCCCTTGGCAACTGCAGGTCTGTTCTCTCTGTTTGTGAGTCTGTTTCTATTTCATAGATACGTTCATTTGTCTTGTATTTTAGAATCCACATATAAGTGATTATCATATGGTATTTTTCTTTCTCTTTCTGACTTAACCTTGCTTTGTATGATCTCTAGGTCCATCCATATTGCTGCAAAATGGCGTTATTTCATTCTTTTTAATGGCTGAGTAATATTCCATTTTATATATGTAACACAGATGTATTTTAGACCTGGAACTTTTCAAGCCTGTCTCTTTTTACTGAAGACTCTGAGACGAGTTTGGTTGAATTTAGCAAACATTCACTGAGCCCTCAGTGTACACCAGTCCCCTTTGCTGGACAAGTTGGGAAAGGAATGTAAAAGGCATGGCCCTTCCTTTCGGAAGTCAATCAACAATGTTGATACTGTGCAATCTATGAACATACATACAGTTTGGCAGGTTAACTGGGGATTTGCAAACTGGGCGTGAGGAGCTGTAACAGAATAATCACGTGTGTGGTGCTTCCTTTTGTTTTGCTCTTATAAAATTGATATCTAAAGGAGCAAGAGGACCCCCAGGATATGAAGGAGAAATGGATGTTATTTTGAAAAAGGGGGAAACCGGGGAACCTGGACCTCCTGGAGATGGTGGATTCCCAGGAGAAGAAGGTAAATGCTTATGTTTTTTTAACCATATCAAATAAGTTGACTTCTTTACAGGTCACTCAAACAAGCATGCATATTAGACAACTTTCCCAAAAAAACGGTAATTCGGAGATTAGGAAAGGTCATTCTTTAGATAAAAATAAAAACATACACTAAAGAACCTCATGGTACTTTTCTTTCCATGCTAGAACTTAGCTGTAGTTCATATGTGTTTATAGATTTGGATATTCCAAACTTGAATCAGTCCAGACAGATACATGAAATACTGGTACCAGGTTTAAAGTATTCCTGGTTTTGCTGGCTGATCTTAAAATGAGTAGCACAATGACTCTCCAAATCATTTCAGTGGGTGCTATTCAACCTTCAGTGTGCATCCCTTGGGGCCCTTGTTAAAACGCAGATGCTCAATCAGCAGGTCTGGGGCCGGTCTGCCTCTGACTTTCTAACAAGCCCCTCGCTGCCTGTGCTGCTGGTCCTCAAAAACACCCCAGAGCAAGGATTTTGACAACCACATTTGTGTTTTCTTTTCCCAGTTTAGACTTAATTTGAATGGGACCTGGGTTCTTTTGTTGACCCTCTCCTTAACGAGTTAGGGAACAAATGTTTTAAGTCCTCTGGTTAAGTCCTTCCTCATTTGTAAAATGAACATGTTAAAATAAAGCAAGAGGGCTTCCCTGGTGACGCAGTGGTTGAGAGTCCGCCTGCCGATGCAGGGGACGCGGGTTCGTGCCCTGGTCCGGGAGGATCCCACATGCCGCGGAGTGGCTGGGCCCGTGAGCCATGGCCACTGAGCCTGCGCATCCGGAGCCTGTGCTCCGCAAAGGGAGAGGCCACAACAGGGAGAGGCCCGCGTACCGCAAAAAAACCAAAACAAAATAAAGCAAGTGATGCTGCTCACTCCCCCCCGGGTAGCCTTTAGGTCCTTCATGGGCAGCTCCCTTTTTTTTTTTTTTTTTTTTTGCGGTACGCAGGCCTCTCACTGTTGTGGCCTCTCCCGTTGCGGAGCACAGGCTCCGGACGCGCAGGCTCAGCGGCCATGGCTCACGGGCCCAGCCGCTCCGCGGCACACGGGATCCTCCCAGACCGGGGCACGAACCCGTGTCCCCTGCATCGGCAGGCGGACTCTCAACCACTGCGCCACCAGGGAAGCCCTGGGCAGCTCCTTTTACAGTGAGGTCGCGGAAGCCAGAAACCCGTTGTGATGCAGCTTAGGGCAGGAATTAATTAGGACTCCCAGTTCCTGGGAGATGGCTTTGTCTCCTATAAGTAGGACCAAGACCCACAGCCTAACTATCGCCTGTCACGATAGTTTAACTATTCCTTAAAGTTCAAGAGATTTCCTCCAAGAGGTCTGTAACACTTCTAACCCCATCAGGTGATAAAGGCCATCCTGGGATACAAGGGAAGAAAGGAGAGCCAGGAAGCTGTGGACCACCTGGATTTCACAGAGGGGAGCCCGGGAGGAAAGGGCAGCCAGGCCTTCCTGGACCCCCAGGCCCTCCAGGCTCACCAGGGCTGAGAGGGCTCATTGGCTTTCCGGGATTTCCAGGTGACCAGGTAAGCAACTGCTGTTTTGGAAGGAAAGAAATAATAAAACCTTTCTGCCTTGGGATGCCCGTAAGTCATCTTACTTTGCCAGTGTACATCACAGCCCTTCACTGGCTTTTAGAATGTAAGGAGCTGGTCAAGGGAAGAATGGAAACTTCTAGAAGGCCATGATGTAACTGTAATTCTGGCCAGTGCTTATGCCTGGTTCCGGTGACATAAATGATCAAGTCACTTACTCCACATTCTACCCCCAGCCTTGTTTAAACAGCTCCATAGAGACTTGCCTGAGGACTGTTGGTTTACCAGCACAAAGAGTCATCTGAAAAATGACCCAAATTCTGGTTACTAAGCTTTCCTATCCAATTGCAGACATCATAGATTTTGCTGTAAATATACTTTATCTTTACAATCATAAGCAAAATACCCCTTGAGAACCCAGGAAGTACAAATGCAGTAGCCTACATCATAATTTCTGGAAAATGTATAATATACTTTGCTACCCATCTTTTGGAATAAAATAGATTTTTCAGGTTTTGGGTATAAATTATAACAGTTTATTTCGTATCAATTTGTTCATTCAAAACTTAAAGTTCAACTGATGTGATGCAATTACTCTTTTGCAATCAAGTATTGGGATTTGGATGCCCCCTGTTGGTATCACTAATTCTGGAAGAGTTTCGTCAACTTTTAAAACCTAGATGCATGTAGTAGTATGCTTGCAATGCATTTCCAATTTTCTTTACCACTGCAAATTATAAAAACCAAGTTAGTTCTAGAAAATTATAACTGGATCATGTCAAGCATGTGTCATTTGTATTTGAATTACAATTCAATTACAATCTTATTTCTGTTTCATTAAACTATCAGGGTGAGCCAGGTTCTCCAGGGCCCCCTGGACTTTCAGGAATCGATGGTACAAGAGGACCTAAAGGTATGGTTTGGAGATACAGCAACCATCCATCAAGCTCATAGTCCTGGGTATTTGTAGCATTGTGAGCAGGTACCTCTGGCATGAAAAGTAAAGTAGATCAAACAAACTGCAACATTCAAAGAGTTCTTTTTAGACTCTACAAGGTAGTCAAAACAAGACCTAAATCATCTATATTTGTCATTCAGATCTAAGGGTACCATATAGAAAACAGCATGCTTGCAGGCATAGCATAATTTCCTCCTTGGTGGGAGTACTCTCAGCTGTCCTAGTGACTGCAGCTCTATAAATGACAGCTCAGGTGCCAGGAGACAGATTTGCATTGGTGGTCCATGGCCCCGTGCCCCACAGGAGCCAGTATCTCTTCTAAGGACTCCATAGGTACAGCTTTTGGCGACCCAGTTACAAGAGTCACGGTACACAGAGAAGGCCAAAGCCATGACTTCCCACCAAGTGCTAATAGTTCAGTTAAGAATTCCTGGGCCACACATAATCTACAGTTGAGTTATTTTTACCATAAGCCAAGGGTCAGCAAATGTGTTTTTCTCAAAGGGCCAGATCATAAATATCTTCAGCTGTGTGGTCTCTGCTATAACAGCTGTGCATGAAAGCACACACAGCATGAAAGCAGCCGTAGACAGTATGCAAACAAAGGGCTGTAGCTGTGTTCCAATAAAACTTTCTTTGCAACAGGCTGCAGGCTGGATTTGGCCTCACAGGCCTTAGTTTAATTTGGGCCAAAGACAGTATTGCCTTGTAACACAACTTACATTCTGCCTTTATCAGGTTTCCAGAGAAATAGGAACAGGAAGTTAACCCAAGGGAAAAAATGTCCTCAGAGAAAGAGAGGTTTCGTTAACCCTTTATCCAGACAAACAAAACAAACAAATCCAGGGTATCTTAAATTGCAGCGTTTACACAAAAGCTTTAATATTTTTTACTATTTTTGTGTACCATTGGGTTAATATTTTTCTTTAAATCTACTTTAAAATGATTCACCTTTTTAACCTTAGCCTTAATCTCACTATCTGTGAATTCACAGGCTTGTGGTACAGTTATATTTTATTTTAATACAGATTAAAATAAATAACTTTAAAATCAGAAACAGTAATTAGTGAACCACCTAAAAATCTTCTCCCTTACTACCAGTGAAACATGCTTTACGCTTTGAGAGACACTCCATAAATAACATGATAATTGCTGTAAGAAAAAGTGAACTGTGAACATGTATTTATTCAGAAAGAATAACTTAGATCTTCTCTTTAGAAATAGTTACAAATAGGGAAGTTTGCGTATTTTATTTTGACATTTTATAGCTTCAGTCAGTGTTCAGAACTCAGTCCTCTTCTACTCATCTATCCATTTATTATAGACCCTTTGCCTCTCTCAAAGAACAAACCTATTTCTTCTTGTTTCCTTCCTACTTGTATTTGGCCATGGTTGCAAGGAAACAAAATGCAATGAAGGTACTTGGAGTAAAAGCTGTCTCGTGGAGCCCACAGATAAGACAGTTCTGCAGGACCATAGTCTGAAGGAACCTAGCCCTTGGGAAATCCATGGATTTTTCTCTTGAGACTTTTCTCTGTGGTCTGTTTTTTACTTACCTGCCTACCAATTGGCTTTATCACTCTCTATTCAGTATCCTTTCTGGATGTGCTTGGATTGCACTTGATCATGCTCTATATTAGGACATCGTGAAAATGCTTTTGATTTCTGCCTCAATAGGCAAGGGCCTCAAGTTCTTACGTTTTATTACAATTCCTAAAGGAAAGACTGGCTGACCTGGGATGGACCAGATTCATACCCTTCAAACAATTAACCACAATTATGAGTAGGGTCAGGTGGAAGAGAACCTACCATAGGTGTGGGTGGGACCCCTTAAAAGGGGTGTTCGTGTGTAGGTGCTTTAAAACATGCCTAATTAGTTCTCTTCTCTTGTAATCCCATCAATTTCTTGCCCTTCCCTACCATACCATTTTGAGTCCTCCATTTGTAATTGGCTCCCAGCTATAATGTAAGTCCTTGTGTCTGGAAGGATGCAGCAGCAGTGTGGAACAGCTCTGTGGGACTGTAGGGGTCACTGCCTACAATGGCCTACAACTGCCTACAATGGCCTCCAAAGTGCCATCTCTTGTGAAGTCATCAGTAAGATGACTTGTGATTTCGGTTTTTTACAAGGACACCAAGTTGAGCTTCCTTGAAGAGAGCTTGAAATGTGATTGCAGCAGCTGAAACAGTGACAGTTTCTGCTTTCTGTTTCTAAAAAACAATATAAGGATACTAAATGCCAAGTAATTTCTTAAATAGATCCCTAAATTTGAAATTATTTTAGAAAATTTAAAAATTTAAACTTATTAAGATCTATAGTTTCTTATGACCGTTTTGAACTATAAAATAGTGTGTGTGTGTGTGTGTGTTTAAATCACAGCTTGCATCTATGTTTCTATTTGTTCTTATGTAAGGAAAAAAAAAAGCATTGTTTCAAAAATCCTCTCTTGGAATATTGAGGATAGACTATAAAGGGAAGTATCATGAAAGTTATTAAGTCACTTGTATGAACAAAATAAACTCTCTTAAATAATGTTATGTGCATTTTATCACTTACAGGATACAAAGGGGAACCTGCAAGTCAGTTTGGCCTACCTGGTCCAAAGGGTGAGCCAGGTAGCCCTGGATATCCAGGTATAGCTACATACTTTTCTTATTAAAACAAAAAAGAGTAAGTTTGGTTTGAAAAATAGTGCAATTACTTTATCTTCCTAGCTGGCAATGGTTGTATCAGTATTATATTCTCCCTTCGCTCATTAAGATACCTATCAGAAGGATTATGTATAAGCACTGGCCTAGGAGGACACCAGGATTATACACCAGCAACTCACCATCTTTTCTCCACCATGGCTCCCATGACCTAGGATGTTAACAACACGCTTCCCTAGGCATGCCCAGATTTTGTCAGGGTCAAAAATGATTATTGCAAGCAATTAAAATTTGGACTGTTTTGCAAATCTATAACTAAAAATGATACATTAACAATAACCACTCCGCTGACTGCAGCTGCAGGTTGTCATCCAGCCCTTTCTTTCCTACTCAGAAAAGCATAGGCGAGGGACTTCCCTGGGGATCCAGTGGTTAGGACTCTGCACTTCCCTGCAGGGTGCACGGGTTCGATCCCTGGTCAAGGAACTAAGATCCCACAAGCCTCATGGTGTGGCCAAAGAAAAAAGAAAAGCATAGGTGAATGCCCTGAGGAGTGCAGTTGCTGAGATATGATTGAATACCTCCTTTACTAAGTATCTAGTTTACTCAAAACCAAACCAAAGGAACGTAAAGCCTCATCAGCAGCAACAAATCTCAGTCTTTCCAAACAGCACTTCAGTTATCAGCAACAATAGATGTGTAATGCCTCAGAACAGATTGTGATGTTCCAGGGAGTTCCTGCTCTCCGGTAGAGGTTGTGGCTCGTTACAGTAGACGACCCACAGCTGACAAAACATACACGTGCTTTTACTTAGTAATTCCACGTGTAGGAATATATCTTAAGTCAATAAGCAGACAAATGTACAAAGCTCTGTGCACAGGGATATCCACTGCCTGGAAAGAATTTGTTTCTCCACAGATGATTGGTTCAATAAGTGATGCCCAATGTCATTCAGCTGATAGTGGACAGGTTAGAAGCCAGGCTTGTATTTAGATGGGTCCACTGTAAATTAAAATATCTCATATTAATAGTTTTGTGTATTACCTTAAAATTCTCTTCGGCAGTGGCCATGTTTCATTCCATACAACAGAAAGAATATCTGAGAAGAACTATTATGGGAAATTTTATTTCTTTATTTTTATTTATTTATTTACTTTAAAGAATAAATCAATTTTTAAATTATTTTTAACTTCAGAAATTTTATAGATTTTTTTTGTGTGTGTGGTACATGGGCCTCTCACTGCTGTGGCCTCTCCCGTTGTGGAGCACAGCCTCCGGACGCGCAGGCTCAGTGGCCATGGCTCACGGGCCCAGCCGCTCCGCGGCATGTGGGATCCTTTCGGACCGGGGCATGAACCCGCATCCCCTGCATCTGCAGGCAGACTCTCAACCACTGCGCCACCAGGGAAGCCCGATAGATTTTGAGTCGTCTTTACACTCTATAAATATCCACAATTCAGTAAATTATGGACACTGGGAAGGAACATTTAAAATAAGGAGAATGAATTAAACTTTGTTTTTATACCATAAGATTGCTAAAATGGAAGTCTAACAGGAAAACAAGCTATTGCACTGGCAAAAACTTCCTTCCCCACTCCCTTTCATACGGGTCCTTTACCTCTGTCATGGTCAAATAGATTTAGATACTATAATATTTTAACTGAAATGTACAGCTTACGTGTACATTTGGAGGGGAAAATAGCTTTGAGGTTAGCATTGTGGAGGCTCATAAAAAGTACCAGAGGGAGGTCTCAGAAAGGAAAATCACTGGTTCAAAGTCAACCTCCTTTACCACTGAGCATATGGTCTTGGGCAAGTTGCTTATCATCTTTGAGCTATTTCCTCACCTGTAAACTGGCCCTATGCATATTACAGGTTGTTCTGAGGATCAAATGAGATTCCTTGAAAGCAATTTATAAACTAAAAATTGCTACACAAATGGAAAGTGTAATTCATCATTGTCATCAGCAGTCAGCAAAACATGAAGAGATTTTTTCCACACTTACTGGTATTTTTATGTAAACCTTTAAGATAGTAAGATTTTATAAGCTAAAAAGAGTCCAAAATGGAAACCTTTGATATTACCTAATACTGTAAGTTAAAAATCATAGAACTGAGTTATTTTATATGTAGGCTAACTTTTTCAAGAAAATTTGCCTTGGTGTAATTTCTCTGGTCTCCTGTGGTTGTCACCGTTTAAATGGTTCCCTTTCCCAAATGCCATAGCTTTTGCTTAAAATTTTAAAATTGCATCATATGTTATTCACCAGCACAGAGTTTACCTAAACATGCAATTTCCATTGGCTTGAAAAAAGCTGCATTGAATTTGAACAAGCCTATCAAGAAGGCGTAGATCTGCAGCCTGTCTCAGGGGATTTTATATGATTGTATTGGGTTCAGTTCTACCTCCCTTTTCTCTATTTCAGAGAGAAAATACAGTACAGCTTAACTCACAGGTTCTGTTCTTAATATAACTGTGATTGGAGAGGCAAGGCTTTACTATTTCAGTTTCTTCATTTGGAGGTGGGAAAAGGCTGCCTTCCCTTAACCACAGGAATATTTTCAGGATGAAGAAAACAATACACAGTGAAGCTCATAGATCTCAAATTTGATTGGGAACAAGTATAGACTAACATAGGCTTGTTTCTCTTGTGTGTTATAATAAATAGTGACTATGACCCCCGTGAGTTTGTAAATACAGAACCACATATTTTATTTGCAGATTCAACTGGTCATTTTCAGCACAGACTATTGGTTTATCCTACAAATATAAATTGTATTGATATTAAAGTCATACATTATAAATAAACACATGGGGAAGTCATCTTCTCTAGTAATCAAAGAAATGTAATTTAAAGGAAGTCTGAAATATCATTTCATCCTTACTAAATTAGCAAGAAAACAAAGCAACAAATTAGAAAGTCCTCAGTGAGCACATGGAATGATGGTCTTGGGGCTGTGTGTGGGTGACGTGTAGGGCTGTGAGCTGGTAGAGCATTTATCCAAACCATTTGGCAACCTCTGTCAAGAACCAAATGCTGAATGGTCTGTTCTAGAAGACTCAGAACAGTTGGGCCTTTCTCTTCAGCACATCACTGTCCTGAGAAGGGGACTGTAGTAGGTTTTTTTTAACCTAATAGATGTATGCACCAGATGTAATGTGTGGTTCTGGAATGGGACCTGGTGTGGACTCACCGGCTGTGAAGGACATTGAGGGGACGATTGAGAAAACTCAAATATGGAAGGAGGGTTATATGATATTAAGGGTCATTATTAATTTTCTTGGCTGTGATAATGTTACTTTGGCCACATAGGAAAATGTTATTTTTCAGACTTACCTCCTGAAATATTTAGGGATGAAATTCCACGATGTCTGTGATTTACTTTAAAATCCTTGAGCATTTAAAAATGCATTAAAAAGAACCAAAACTTCTACTCTTAGGAATTTTTCCTGAGGAAATAATTTAATAGGAGAAAAAATTGATTAAAATGTATAAAGATCATTATGCATAACAGCAAGAGTTAGAAATAACATGGATGGCCAACAGTAGAGAAAATTAGATTAATTAATTTAATTAGGGTTAACTCAATAAGCTATCAGCCAGTTATTTAAAAACAGTAATTAGGAAATGATATCAAACTTGGAAAATTACTTATGATGCAATGCTAGCTAATTAAAAAATAAGAATATAAAATTGTAGGCCTTATTTGCACATTTGTTATACATATGAAACACTGTATTAAATTGGTGGGATTATAGGTGTTTTGTTTTCCATCTTTCCTTAATGTTATCTTTTCAACAAAAAAATTGTACATGTAAAAAAGTAAGAATAGAAAAGAAAGAGCTGAAGTTGGAGGTTTTATAGATTCACCACCTTGAAGAGCAACTACAACTACTCAGATGTTTGGTCCTTTTTTCTTTAGGACATTTGGGAGCACCTGGAGAGCAGGGCTTGCCCGGTGTTCAAGGACCTGGAGGACCACCCGGAAGGCCAGGACCGCCTGGCTCCTCTGGACCAGCGGGGTGTCCAGGTACCTCGAAAGGAGCCTCGAGAGTTCCCGGGCACTCATCTATCTCTTGGTGTAGGGGAAGAAGCTGGCTCTGCCTTTTCCCCAACCTGTGACTTTGGACAAGTCACTTAAATGTACTATTCCTCACCTGTAAGTTGGAGATAGACCAACATCACTGAGTTGGTCTGGGAGTAAACGAAGACAGCGCCTGTCACGCACCTAGGAAGATACCAGGCACAAAGCGATGGTCTGACAGAGGAAAGCTCCTTTCCAACCTTCCCTCATGCACCTACCATTCAGGAGGCTGGTTTCCTATTCTCCTTTAGACTTAAGCCAAACAGCACACATTCAACACAACATTTTAACGGCTCCTCCTCTTGCCAATTCAGAATCAAGTGAGCATTTCAAATCATAATTGGTAACTTTAATCACTCAAGTGTATTTTCTCCTCTTGAGATTAAGTTAGGAGGTCTAGAAAGAAAAAGTAATAAAACAGTATCCCAGTTACCCATAGATTAAGAATATAGATGACCTTCCCATTTCACGAAACTCATATCGTCTGGGTGTCTGCAAAACCTCCCTGTCGTCCTCAGGTAATCCAGGGCTGCCTGGGCTGCAGGGACATCCAGGAGAAATGGGGGATCCTGGGCCAAGAGGCCTCGTGGGGGATCCAGGGGCACCAGGTCTTCCGGGAATAAAAGGTGAGTCAAAAGGAGGCCCGACCCATCAGAAAGCTCCCCCCGGTGATGCTCCCACAAGTTCACAGTGCCTTTCTAGCATCCTAATGACATGCTCTGGGGCCTGGCTCTTTCCAAGGATGCCTGTTGCCGCCTCCTGTTCTTTCTTACTTGGGCGGCGCTTGCCTGGTCTCTGGACCCGCTCTACCAAAATGATGCTGCTGCCCCCTCATTTTTTTTAACATCTTTATTGGAGTATACTTGCTTTACAATGGTGTGTTAGTTTCTGCTGTATAACAAAGTGAATCAGCTATACATATACGTATATCCCCATATCTCCTCCCTCTTGTGTCTCCCTCCCACCCTCCTTATCCCACCCTCTACGTGGACACAAAGCACCGAGCTGATCTCGCTGTGCTGTGCAGCTGCATTTCCCCTATTGTTTCCCATGATGTTCCGGCCTTTTTATTTATTCTTTCCCCAGATAGTCAAGCTCCTGTTATGTCCTAGATTCTAGGACACAGTTAATTGTGTGATACTAGGCACACAATTTTGAAGAAAATAGACATGGTTCCTGCCTTCACAGAGCTCACAGTTTAGTAGGGGAGACAGATATTAAATGTATTTTTGTCAGTTGTGCAAAGGAAAAGGAAAAGAGTAAGATGCTATGGAGAAAGAGGAATTAATATTTATTATCTTTGTTTGATAGAGAAACATTTTTTTCCTCGTTAAGTTTTTTTCTCTTTAGAAGTACAGTAGACTGGTAATAACATAGGTCTGGTGGGATAGAATAGAATAGAATAGAATAATTGGTTATTAACAAATATTCATGCCCCTCCATACAGCCCTGGTACTTATTCCTTTTCAGTCCATTTCTTTCATTTTAGATTTCTTTTTTCCCATGGGTACCTTGTGTATACCTCTAGCATGACACTTACGTTGTATCGTGTTTGTTTGTTTAAAGGTCTTTTAAAAAGCAAGAATCATTTTTTTAAATTGAAGTATAGTTGATTTACAATGTTGTGTTAGTTTCAGGTGTACAGCAAAGTGATTCAGTTATACATACATATTTTTTTTTCAGATTCTTTTCCCTTATAGGTTATTTAAAAATATTGATTTTAGTTTCCTGTTCTATATAGCAGGTCCTTGTTGGTTATCCATTTTATGTAGTAGTGTTAATGTTAATTAACATTAGTGTGTATATGTTAATCCCAAACTCCTAATTTATCCCTACACCCCTTCCCCCTTTGGTAACCATAAGTTTGTTTTCTATGTCTGTGTGTCTATTTCTATTTTGAATATAAGTTCATTTGTATCGTTTTTTTTTTTTTAGATTCCACATATAAGCAACAGCATATCATATTTGTCTTTCATTGTCTGGCTTGCTTCACTTAGTATGATAATCTCTAGGTCCATCCTTGTTGCTGCAAATGGCATTATTTCATTCTTTTTTATGGCGGAGTAATATTCCTCTGTGTATATGTTACCACATCTTCCTTATCCATTCATCTGTCAGTGGACATTTAGGTTGCTTCCATGTCTTGGCTATTGTAAATAGTGCTGCAATGAATGTTGGGGTGCATGTATCTTTTTCGAATTATGGTGTTCTCTGGATATATGCCCAGGAGTGGGATTACAGGATCATATGGTAGCTCTATTTTTAGTTTTAAGAACTATTTTTTGTATCCTTGGAACCAGTATATTCCTAGTAAGTCTGTTGGTTGGTTATTGTAAGTATTTATTTACTTATAGAAATAAATAAAAATTTAAATATATTAATAAATTTAAAAAAATTTATAAATTTACTTTTATAAATAAATACAATTAATTAATTAATGGAAAAATAGAGAATGAACAACTGAACAAGTAGCTATGAGGTTGAGAGTCTGTCCTCACTTCGATCAATAGTTGAAGGGTCCAGCCTTACTTGGTAGGTTTCTATAACTGAGACCCCTCTCTCTCCTTCCTCCTTTTTCCTCCCACTTACCTTCTGCTCGTTGGCCCATACATACACTAAATTTTGGTCAAATAAAAAGTACTTCCTCTCAGAAGAATTGGAAATCCCTTCTTTTGGGCTTAGTCAGTCTATTGTTTTGCAAATCCAAGTAATGTTTCTCCACGCTCTCACCTCTTCACTCATCAGGTAGATTTCAAATAACTCCAGTTGTCCAGCAAGTAGTAGTGTGGTGGTAAGTATTACCTGGTGCCTCTGTACAGAGGGAAGCCGTTTAGTTTGAAGAGTTGGTATACTTACGAATTTCTACGCAGCCAAATAAGCAGACAGGAAAAGCTCCCACCACAAGATACCTTTGTACTGTCCCCCTTCCTCTTCACTGGCATTTTTAGTAATGTGAAGTATAGTGATTGGTGATAAATTTAGCGTTCCAAGCAAAATAATTTTGTATTTTTAAGAGTTTCACTGGTTCTTGTGGCTGTTTCCTGTCTCTGGCAATCCCTATAGCCCTGGCGGGATATTCTTTGATGCTCTTTTGAGTGTCTGGAGGACAAAATTGATAAAGAACCAAAAGAAAACGTTTTCCATTACTTCTGCTGCATCTCCACTTCTTCCTACCCTCCTAGTTTAGTGAAATGGCAAGGATTTTCAAGTGTCCGGGTGCCATTTTATGCACTCAGTTTGACTAAAATGACAAGGTTCATGTCGCTATGGTTGATTCTTCCTTCCCTTGAATTAGTTCACATTTATCACATAACTTCAGTATATGTTATTAAAAAACTAATAGCTAATGAATTTGACCGAACAACAAAATTACCTCCAATTACATCATAATTCGATGCTATGAAATAATAAGTTTGTTAAGAAGAGAAGGTGAGAAAATGAATATATCAACCCACATATTCATACCAGTGCACAGACGGTTGCTGCAGTGATGCTTCCTGACCATGCAGGGACACCGTTTCCCTGCAAACAGCCCAGTGAACAGCACAGTCTTTAAAAAAAAACCCACAAAACAGTGAAATACATTCCTAGGAATGAAAACGTCTCCAATATAAATCCATTGTTGCAGTTTATCATGCTGATAGAAAAATGAACCACACTCGGGCAGAAACGCTTTGAACTGAGAAGCTAAATATTTGAAGTATGTTCTAAATAAGTCAAGGGGACTGATTATCTTGTTTGAACAAACCAGCTGCTGAACTCAAAGTTGTTTGCTCCACTGGAACGAGCCATATGGACTCTTGAGTCTTGCTTGTGTTCAATCAGATTTAAACTTTAACTTCAACATATGTAAAAATGGCTTGATGCCTAGACTTAAATTTTCCAGTACCTATGCCTCTAAAAGGAAGATGCTCGATTTCCTAGTTAGGCATTCATATAAGAATGTAATAATGGAGGGCTTCCCTGGTGGCGCAGTGGTTAAGAATCTACCTGCCAATGCAGGGGACACGGGTTCGAGCCCTGGTCCGGGAAGATCCCACATGCCACGGAGCAACTAAGCCCGTGTGCCACAACTACTGAGCCTGTGCTCTAGAGCCCGCGAGCCACAACTACTGAGCCTACGTGCCACAATTACTGAAGCCCGCACGCCTAGAGCCCATGCTCCGCAGCAATAGAAGCTACCTCAGTGAGAAGCCTGCGCACCACAACGAAGAGTAGCCCCCGCTCACCACAACTAGAGAAAGCCTGTGCACAGGAACAAAGACCCAACGCAGCCAAAAATAAATAAATAAATTTATTTAAAAAAAAAAGAATGTAATAATGGAAACCTAGAATGATAAGCTTTAGCATGAGAATGTGTAAAGAATGTGGACTGGGCTATTTTGGTGGGTGACAGGTAAACTATTTCATAAGAAAAAAAGCACCTAGAAATGTCTTTTGTCAGCATAGAAATGCGGGGCACCTTACAGCTGTGAAAACCACAGAAATATCCTTCCCCTTTTCTGCAACTAGTGTCCTCCCTCTCCCGCCTCCACGGCACTTACCACTCTTGAGGTAATTGCCTGTTCGTTCTGTCAAGTCAGGGATTGTTTCTCTCTTGCTCTCATTGTCTGGTCAGCTCCTGTCACTAAGTGCATTTGGGGACTGAAACTTCGCTGTTAGGGCACCATGTCTTAGGCTCTTGTGTGTCTCCTTGGTAGGCACTCGTGTATTTTCTGAATCAAAAAAGAATTCAATCTTATTTCAGAATCTGTTTTGATACGTTTTCCACTTCGTTCAACCTTTACCTGTAGTCACAAAGAAAGGTCTCTCCCTTCGGCTTTCAAGTTAGGGTGACCAGCTGTCCCGTTTTGCCTGGGACGGAGGGGGTGCTCAGGACACAGAACTTCCAGCGCTAGAACTGTAAGAAAGTCGCCGGAAGTCAGGGACGAGTTGGTCACACTAGTAAAAGTGTACACCTGTTAAAGGTCCCTGGGGATAGAGTAGCATTTTCAGGCTTTAGAACAAAAGAAAACCTCAGAGAGGGAATCCAGTCGCGAAGAGTCACCTGGCTCACATAGATAGAAGCTGGTATTATGATTATGGCTGGGGTGGGAGAGTAGATTCTCTGACTAGAGGGGGGGCACCCTGGCCTGTGAGTGCAGCAAGATGCGGCCTTAAATGATGGTTGTTAAGCCCGAGGATGACCAGAGAGGTGAACAGAAAATGCTCATTGCCAAGGAATGTGCTTTGTGAGACTAATTGCCTCTCCTCTGCCTGGTATATATTTTATGCATGAACAACTTTTTGATTTAGAGATGGGATGGATAAAAAAGCTTTCAGTAAAAAGGAAAAATTGCCCTGAAAACCCTACCCAGATGTAGCTGCATTCAATTTAGAAAGGTAACATTGCGTCAGATAAGGGTCAGCCAGTTCAACAATGGCGAGAGGCTGAGGCTGTGACAGTGCAGGACCTGGATGTGTTGATGTGACAACGGAGAGTTGGCAGGAGCTGAGACGTCCCACCCCCAGCCAAGTCCCCAAGCCATCAATCTTGGTGGCTTAAGCTGGAGATCAAAACACAGTGAAATAGCAGAGGAGTCTCAGAAAATGTCTTATCATTTCAGATAGATGGCAATAAGTATCCAGATTTGGCAGTTGAAGGTCTGTGTGTTCTTTTGGTGCAAACTTGAAACATTTGCTCATAAATAGGAAAGAGAATTGGAGAATAAGCTCAGCCAGAACTGATAAAAGTGGTTAGGAAATAAGAGCTTTAGGGAAAAAAAGGGTGCGTTCCCCCACCCTGCTTTTTTTTTTTTTTTTTTTTGGTGCAAGACAATATGGCTTATTCCCACCAATCTAACGTTTAGATTTAAAAAATAGAATAACTCTGTTTCTAGTACTGATAAAAAATAAAATGGAACCAACTAACTGTTCCATCGTCCAGTAAGAAGTCTACAGAAGACTTGCTTTAATGAAGAGATAATAATTAGCACTTGAATTCTTTATATGCAAATGGATAGCACTAACTTCCTCAAATCTTACTCATCCGATAAATCTATCAATGAAAGATATGACATGCAAATAGAGATTGGAATCCACCCTTCTTTATAGCTTTCTCTCCACCTGTTCAATCCCTCACCCTCCCTGTTCCACACTTGGTCATTCACTGATTCATTCATTCACTCATTCATTCGACAAACATTTATTGAGCACCTACTGTGTGTCAGGAGATATGCTAAGTGGCGGGATAGAACAACTAATAAGACCTGATCTCACACTCAGTTAATTCATCCAAAGTAAACCAGCCACCACAGACAGGATTGTTGTACAGAGTAGGATGGGCCTGGCAGAAGGGCATTGAGGGAGCTCTACACAGGTGTCATGGGGGTAGATGAGGGGTACTTCTCTGTGTTCGTCATAAGCTGAGGGTGTGATTATCACAAATTCGAGGGCTGGGACCCTTAACTGAATGAATGGCTGGCTGTGTTCTGAGGGGCTTTTAGCCTCAGATGAGAAAGAAAAGTTTCTGGTTGGAAGATGCATTAATGAAATAGGAAGGCTACCAGGCTTGGCCAGGGGCTGAGGAGAAGATTCTTTCTCCCCATCAGTCAGTGGGACGTGGGTGCAGCACTTGGCAGAAGCGCAGCAGCTAGGAGATGTTCTATGTCTGTTAGTTATCTGCCTCTTCCCCCCACCCTTCCCTTTACTTGCTTCCTACAAATCTATATATTTATATATGGCAAATATATATAACGTATTATGTATATGCTATACGTATTATCATATAAATATAGATACAAATACCTATATATTTATCAATCTATAGATTTATAGGTGTTCGGCTTTCAGTGACAACTTATGTAAAGTCAGATTAGTAGATGGCTCCTTAGAGAACTCTATTGACACCTGACAGAAGGTTCTGGAAGAAGATGCAGGCATCAGCGAGATCCTGTCTAATTACAGAGAATGGAGTTTGCATGATCATCGTGAAATAAATTTACTAGTTGCCAAGAGGCATCAGAGTGGTTCTCTTTGGAAGAAGGGGTGGCAGAGGAACAGCTGCAGGCACACCTGACCTGCAGGCCTGTTCTTTCTGAGTAACACAGTGCTCAAAAAAACCAGTAGGGTGTGTATTCCCCAGTGTGCCACCGTCCCCACCTGTCCTTAACTGTCTTACTACCTTTATCCAGATAGATTCTGAAGAAACAAGGATCTGCAGACCGTGGAGTGTGGGAAGATCCTGGGCCTGGGAGGAAGGAAGAGGGCGTTTGCTCCCAGCCAATCCCTTTCCTTGTCTAGGATCTTTTTTTTTTTTTTTTTTTTTTTTTTGCGGTACGCGGGCCTCTCACTGTTGTGGCCTCTCCCGTTGCGGAGCACAGGCTCCGGACGCATAGGCTCAGCGGCCATGGCTCACGGGCCCAGCCGCTCCGCGGCATGTGGGATCTTCCCGGACCGGGGCACGAAGCCACGTCCCCTGCGTCGGCAGGCGGACTCTCAACCACTGCGCCACCAGGGAAGCCCTAGGATCATTTTACTGTTGTAAAATTGGAGGTCATTTCCTATACCAAGATTCAGTAACTCTAGAGTCTATCTGATTAGAAAGAGAGAAAGAAAGAGAGAGCGAGAGGTTCAGGATACGGTCATAAACCAACAGCACTGTGTTACAACCACAGCTAGTTATGTGATAGGATATATGCCCGGCTGAGGGACGGCGTGGGAGCTCGGAGTTTGGGGTGAGCAGATGTAAGCTATTATATAGCGAATGGATAAACCACAAGGTCCTACTGTATAGCACAGGGAACTATACTCAACATCCTCTGATAAACCAGAATGGAAAAGAATATAAAAAAGAATATATATATATATATATATATATATATATATATAAGAAAAGTATGTGTTAAGCCGTCTTAACAGAAAACATCCATCAAATGAACGTATTTAGTGATGACCACTGGCATGGATTCTGCTTTGATAGTGATGTTCGGAAGGTGAGGTCTCCTGGTTCCTGCCTGGAGAATCTGTGGGTCCCCGTCAGCTAACCCTCCCCTGGACTGTGCCTGCAAAGTACAGCCAGAGGATGTACCTTGTGTACTTTGTGTCACAGACCTGTGATGTGTTTCAGGTCCCTCCGGGTCACCGGGCCTGAACGGCTTGCACGGTTTAAAGGGTCAGAAGGGCAGCAAAGGCGCTTCAGGTAAGAGAAAACCCTTTGCAAGAGGCTGAACAGCAGGCAGGGGACCACGAGAGTCCGCTGGTATTTCCTCCCTTCACAAAATTCGGATGCGAAACTAGGACAGTGGTTTAGCTCAGATTCACAATGTTGGAACTGTTTTTAGTGCTGGTGATGACATATAAAAAAGATACTTGAGAAAACCCAATTTAAGCAGGAATGGTTGGTTAACAGTGCCTTTTGTTGATACTGCTTGTGACTGTCTATTAAAAATACTCTGAATAATCGCTTAGGTGGAGCTAGCTTCCAAAATGTTACGAACAACCAATAAATAGTCGGGATTTGGGGGTATTGTTTTGTTTTATGTATAGTCGTGCCAAGTACAACCACGTGGGTCTAATCAGTACTTCTAGCATCCTTCAATAGCCTGCTGCTAAAACAAATTACCTGAACAAATTGCTGTTATTTTTGATACCACAAATAGGCTAATCATCAAGATCTTAGCTCGTTCCATTATTTGGATAGAGTGCACATTGGTTGCATTAGTTTCTCAGGAAAAGAGCTCGCAATCAGACAAGGTAGCTGGAATCAGACATGCAGATTTGGGGGGCTGTTGGAAAAGGATTGGATTGCTGTGCTGCGTGGTTTGAATCTGTTGTTGAGGAGGGACAAAACCTTGATACGGTTTGGAAGGTCAAGAAGTAATTTACCTCACTTAGGATTCAGTTAGCAGCTCTTCCAAATAGTCTGGTAAAACGTGTGGCCTCTCCAAGAAACCAGTGAAGTTCTGCCTTGTCAGCGTGAAACTGCACATTCCTTCTCTTTATTTGCCGGTTTCCACCTTAAATTTCAAGCCAGTTTATTGACAGTCACTCATCGTCGGATCTCATTCGTTTCACTCTTTCCACTGTAGAGGTTGAAGGGTCAGTATTGTCAGTAAGCTGTTGTGTTTTTAAATCTGGGAAATAACCGTAAAATAAATCAAAGCTATGCTGGACAAGTGTGACGGGTCATAAGACAGGAGACGGCGACCCAGGAAGGGTGTGCGGCCATCTGGGTCACCGTTACAGCCAGTGTTGAGCCTCAGCAGGGCCGGCGGCATCCCTGTCACATGACTATTTGGAAGCAGTTCCTTTGGAAGCAGGCCCCACAGCAGGGACACACCAGGAGAAGATGCAGTGCTAATGCTGTTTTCCTCGTTAAGGTTCCCATAAAATGGGCCCACCTGGTCCAGTGGGAATGCCCGGGCCAAAAGGCGAGACAGGAGACCCCGGGAGCCCAGGAATTTCTCCTCCAGGACTTTTCGGAGACAAAGGTCCCCCAGGTCCCCCAGGTAAGAAGCAGCATGCTTTTCCCTTCTCTCAGTAACTAAATCCAAGCCTTCCAAATGTAATGAGACTAACAACTGAACATGTCCCTTCTCAGGGAGACCTGGACCGCCTGGTCCTGCAGGTGCCCCAGGAAGAGCTCTTAAGGGTGACATTCCGGACCCGGGTCTGCCTGGAGATCAGGGACCTCCTGGCCCCAATGGTCCAAGAGGTATGAGAAGAATCATGGCAAAGGATGGTGATGCCCCTTTCCTTAGATGCTGCCAGCTCTGTAGGGATGGAGGAGCAGAGAGTGGCCGAGTAGAAACCCCTTAGCAGCCCCATCGATTTGGCAGATGGAAACGGGGGGAGTGTGGGCAGTGGCGGGCTCCCAGGACCGGTGCTTAGGCCCCTCACACTTCTGTTTCAACTCCATCGGACCACCTCTGACTCAGAGCAAGCCTTTCCCGTTGTCGGCTCGATGCTGAGCGTGAGGGTGCAGAAGTGGCAAGCAGGAGGCCATCACGTGGGTCTCAGTGTCCACACAGAGAGCACTGCTTCTGGCCCAGGGTGACAGGACCCAGGCCTGACTCACACACAGGAACAGTCTCCTCATGTGCTGCTAACATTACGTGTTGTTCCTCGCGTCACTTCACTGGGACAGACTCTAGCCAGTCAATATTTAACAAAGTAAGACTGGACCAGAGATGGTCAGGGGGTTGGAAAAAGAGTGTGGCTCAGTGCAATTTTTTGCCAACTGGCAGGCGATCACATTCCTGCTAGCTCACAGAACTCTTCCAGAGAGACAGAAACCTTAAAATCTTCAGCATTTTAGTAAGGGTAGGATAAAATATATAGTTCTCTCTTACACTGAGAAAAATAAAAATGCTCAAAAATGTGCTGAGAAGTTTAGAAGCTAAGTAGGAATTGAATTTGGGCTCAATTCCCATGTGTAGACTCTGGTTTTCAAATAGGATTTTAAATTTAATTGAGCGGATATTCCTTTTTCATCAGCCAGATTTTCTTAAAAGCCTATTATCTCTCTCTCTGTCCACCCATCCATCTACCCATACATTCATCTACCCATCTATCCATTTACCCATCCATCCATCGCGTGAAAGCAGCAGGATGGCAATGCAAGACAAAATCATAAACTGATACTGCCAAAAGGAGTGGCTCTGAAAGGAAGGAAGGCTTTGCTTAGCTCATTTTAACAGTTACTAACAGACTATTCACACCATTTCTCAACTTGGGCTCCAGTATTAGACAGACTGTTTCACCTCTGATACTACTGACTTAGTTATTCTAATTCCTTGCATCCCTTGCTTGTAAGCCATTAAATTCCTTTCCTTAAGAAGCTCGCAGGCAGCCAGCATGCACATTTGACTGAAAGAATCTTTTTGCCTACTCTCTGTGGTCAGGAATACCTGGGCCTCCAGGGCCCCCTGGGAGGGTTGAACTTCTGAAAGGTGAACCAGGTGACTGTGGTCTGCCGGGGCCTCCAGGTCCCCCAGGCCCACCAGGCCCTCCAGGACGCAAAGGCTTCCCAGGATGTGATGGAAAAGATGGCCAGAAAGGTATGAATGCAAGTAGTTCTTTAAGTAGTACTGGATGACTTTCATTATTTAGCCCTTAAGGGTCTGGGGTATGCACCACTATGAGGTATTTCTCATTTCCTGTGGAAATAGTGACTACATTTCCAAAATGTCCTGACTTTCCCAGAGTCCTAAAATTTGGGTAATAGTTGGACAAGTAAGAAGAAGAAACACAAGTTCATCTTTAGCCCCTAATAACATACTTGATAATCTTCTAGACAAGAACTAAACAATAGAAATTGAATGCAAGCTACGTATGTAATTAAAAGATATAGTAGCCACATTTTCAAAGTAAAAAACAAAAGAAATTTTCATACTTTATTTTATTTAACATAATATATTCAAATATTATTTTAACATAAAATCGATATGAGTTCTCAAAGGGATAACTAGGTCTGGCTGTACAAACCTGGTTCTTGTCCCAAATAGACACTCCTTTCTGCTGCTGAAATCTGGTGTGTATTTCACACTTACAGCACAACACAGCTTGGACTTGCCAGTTTCAAGTGTTCAGTAGCCGCATGTGGTTAGTGGCTTCTGTATTGGACAGTTCAGTTTTAGACTGCTGACTTTGTCTTTTTATAATCACAAAAGAGTCTCCATTACTGAATTCCCCCAGTATTTAAGGCTAAAATATTTATTTTAACTAATTTTTACCTAACTGCTAATGTTCGGGGACCTTAGTTTTTGGTTACGAGAATTTTAGAGAATTATGAGGTTCATAGGACATTTTGTTGAGAAGACACCAATAAAGCTTATCCATTTTACCTCCCTTATGTCATAAATAAGGAAGCTTGATACCAGAGAAGCAAATGTTGGGCTTCCCTGGTGGCGCGGTGGTTGAGAGTCCGCCTGCCGATGCAGGGGACATGGGTTTGTGCCCCGGTCCGGGAAGATCCCACGTGCCGCGGAACGGCTGGGCCCGTGAGCCATGGCCGCTGAGCCTGCGCGTCCGGAGCCTGTGCTCCGCAACGGGAGAGGCCACAACAGTGAGAGACCCGCGTACCGCAAAAAAAAAAAAGCAAGTGGACTTGGGTTGGGATTCCAGGGAGGGCTTCCCTGGCGTGATCTGCACGCTGCAGAATGAGGAGCACTTGCTGGACGGGGGAAGGAACGGTATATGCGAGGCACTGAGTGGCTGGTGTGGCTGAAACTGAGAGAGTGAGGAAGAGCGGGTGGGAACTCAGGGTTGGTGGTCTCCAGACAGTGGAGCATCTTTCCTTATTTTTCCTTTCCATCGCGGTCCTTTGACTGTCTCCAGAGAAAGTTCAAGATGACTGGGCTCTTCATTCTAATTAGTTTTGTCTTGGTCATGGAACACTATTCCTTAGTCCGGTTGATGGATAGTTATGTTTCCTTCAGACAGAGGCAGCTCTTCTCCACCTGGCAGAAGAAAGTTGGGGTCTGTTCTGCACTCTAAGGCTGGCGTCGCCCTGCATTTTGCTGGAGCGAACCTCTGAATTCAGTCCATTGAGCTGTCACCATCTTTATATTGCTTCCTTCTAGTGCCCTCCTTTTCATGTGTTTGTTTTAGGACCAATGGGATTCCCGGGGCTGCAGGGGCCACCTGGAACTCCTGGGCCACCTGGAGAGAAGGGTTTACCTGGACCTCCAGGCAGACAGGGGCCCTTGGGTCCTCCAGGTAAGCTTCTAATGCCTAGTCATCTCCACCCAGCAGCCTCCATACAGTGTTTTGTTGAAATATTTACGATGAGGGTCATCTTTCAGAAGGTAATTATCCTGAAATTACCAGTAAATTCTAATAAGTTAAGCTTTTTCTGATAAAGATTATGTTTATCTCAGGCTGCACTACAAAGTCTCAGGTTTGTTAAACTTATTTATTATCAAAGCAAGTAAGTTTGAAAGTTAGGAGTTGATTTTACATGTACTATTTCTAAGGTAAATATCCATAAATCTGTGTTCCCTCACACAGGAGGCAAAGACTGATTTGATTATCGTATGTGAAGACTGTATAGTCAATTCCTGCCCCCAAATTCCCTCCTATCGATTCTCCTAGATGTTTTATTAAACTTTTCCTGTAAAGTACATTAGTTGCTATGAAGATGAAAGGCTATTCGATGTAAGCTCTGTAGACAACAGGTTTTCATCAGAGAGTCAAAATAAGCAATGAAAAGGTTGGAAGGGCAAACAGACGTGTATTTGAGATTGGCAGAAGTAATACCTTTGAAGATCCTAAATCAATACGATGACAGTATGGTGTCAGTTCAGAATATCTTGCAGTCTCGTAAATGAGCGCTCTAGTCCAAAGAATGAGTACACTGCCCTGCTTTATGATGGATCACAGAACAGCATGATAAAGAACTTATACTGTGATTCACCTCTTACTTCCTTTCTGTGCATAATCTACAAAACTTGGCAAATTAATATGGAATTTTCAGAAGCCTTCGAATGGACGGAATTTCTACATACATTAAATTGGGGCATATTTGCCGTAAGAATTCAACTCGAATTTTATATTGTGCAAGGGAGTTTCACTTCAGGACTTTCTAGATATGAAAACTCCATTAATCATAGATGTTCTTGTCAGTAACACTGATGTGGACTTTTTATGTAAATAAGATGCTGTCATTCTACTTGTCATTTCACTTTTGTCCTAATTCACACATTTATAATCTCTTTCTGCCGTATGAAAATCGTTGTGTGGCCTCATTGTTTGGGCTTTGGATCTCTCCAGGTTCCAGAGGTAAGTAAGCATTGGTATAAGATGAATCATTTCCTCTAAATCTCATTTGCAGTCATTTCCGTACTTGCCTTTTTCGCTGTATGTGTGAGTGCAACTTCGTTGCATTTTTTAGATGGGGTGCTGTAATTATATTAGGTTTTAATGCCTTTGCTTCCTCGTTACAGATATGGTAACCCCATATTAGAGTGCCCCAATGCTGAGCCTCATTACAGGTTGTCAAGGCGGCGTAGAGACTCAGCTTATAGAATTTCAATTCAGGCACAGAGTATGAGTGCTTTCTCTGTGAAAGGTACAGTACATACCAACGCAGGTTTCCTTTCTAAATTCTACAATATAAATACAGAGAACGTCCCTAAAATAAGTAGCATCAACAACGTGAAAAGCTGGGTCCTTACTACCCAGTAAGGGGCTGTGACGAGCCTTTCCCATCACACCCAAAGTCCACTGTCAAGGAGCAAGTTTCTTTGTGTGTTAAAATGAAAATGCCATTATTCTTTTCAACTAAGTGTTCACTCAATCCTCCACAACGCGAAAGCAACATATGATTTTGTGTCTGGCATTTTTAAAGAGAATAAAAAGAGTTTCTCAAAAGAAGAAAAGAAAAATCGTGAAAGTGTGCATTTCTTCTTTCCAGGCCTCTGTTATTAACCCTAAGGAACGTTGCCCTGAATACAGACACCATTTATTATCTTTAGGGCCCTTACAAGAGATACCTCGGCCCCTTTCTTTCAGCTTCTGGTTTGTCAAAAAGTAAAGAAATGCAAAATCAGAAGTTTAAGAAATCCTGCTATTTTAAATGTTTATATTTTTAAATTTCTATTGTATATTTAATGAGTTTCACTTCAGTCCTTTTAGTGTCTCTCTGACTGTATATGTAAACTCACTGGAATATAACATCAACATCCTAAATGTGAAGTACCAGCCAAATGCCTGCCCATCCTCCACTAACCTGCTTCCTCCCCTCTACCCTCACTGGTGAATTCCCACCATAATGCACCAGATTATCCAGGGAAAGTAGGAAATACCTACATGCATCTCTCTCAAGTCCCTCAGAGCGAAAAAGCCAAGCTTTACATTAAACTGTATGTACTGTGAAAAGGTCTCTAACTTGGTGTCACTTGTGGTTTCACACAATATTTTCGAGGAGGTTAAATTCCAAACAGCTTATAGGGTTCAAGTTCATTTTTCCACAGGCAGAGTAAGTACCGTGCAGACTACGTTGTCATTGTGGCCAGGTTTTCTAGGATTTTCTCACTGCTTTATCACTGTCCTTAAAATTATTTTGCACATTTGTATGAATTTTAAGAAAACCATAAGTAATCAGTGATGTGTTTTACAATATGTTGCACTTCTTAGAATTCACCACGTAGGTGTTCAGAGTTCTCAGGGAAGGCATCATGGGGTGCGGGTGAAGAGGGCAGTTTTGGAGCCAGGATGTCTTGGATTTTTATCTAGACTGTGCCACTTAGTAGCTTCGTGACCTTAGGTATGTTGCTTATTTACCTGAGCCTGACTTTTCTTCCCTGTAACCTTCTAATGACAGCAGCACACACACACAGGCTGGGTGGGAACATTCACTCATAAAGCACTTAGCACGAGGTCTGATGCGTGATGACGCATCCAGTAAGTGTTAGCTGTTAGCATTGTGGCTTAGTGTCATTATTTCTTTTTCCTTGTGGAATGTTTGCAGGGTGACTGAATGAAGATTTAGCAAAAAAAAAACCAAAACACAGTTTTTAGAGCTGTGAATGTGCCCAAGAAGAAAAAACATATTAAACCTTTAGGGCAGTGGTTTTCTAAATGAGATTCCCCACGTCAGCACCATTAGCTTTACCTGGGCACATGTTAGATATGTAAAATGTTGCCCTGCACCTCCAGACCTACTGACTCAGAAACTCTGGGCTCTAACAAGGCTGACAGGTGATTGTGATGTGCTAATGTCAGAACTGCAGCGTTCCGGTGGTGCTTCTTAGCCCTGGCTAATATTGGAATCATCTGGGGAGTTTAAAAAATTAGTAATGCCTGGGTTCCACCCCCAGAGATTCCTTTTTAATTATCTAGATGGGATGCTGGCAGCGGTATCTTTGAAAAGCTCTGCAGATGGGATTACTGTAAAGTCAAGCTTGAGGGCACTGCCCGGGCCACATCCTATACCAATGAGACCAGTATTTCTGGAGTGGGACCCAGAAATCAGTATTTTTATAACTCGCCTGGATAATTCCAACGTGCACTCAAGGTTGAAAGTCACTGCCTCAGTGCCTCTAGCAGTCCTGAAATTGTCCCCTTGAGTAGCAGACACTCTGGAAACCCAGGTGGCTGCAGTGTAGACTGATGAATTAGGGTGATGTTAAGCTGAGTATGAGGAACACACCAGGACCTCTCCCCATGCCACCTGTGGCCAGCTCCTGGTAAGAAATGGCCCAAAGATTGCGAATCCTGTGAAGGTCACCACGTGATCGCTGTCATGGCCCATTTTCACTATTTCATACTTCTTTTGCTTTCTCTGAGATCCCATTCACTCACTCATTCAGGCATTCAGTCATTAACAGAAAGCATTCTAGAAGTTTTCACAGTGACCAAGACAAAGCCCCATCTTCACAGAGCTGACACTGGATGCTTGAAGATGCTCGATAACGTTTCAGCGTAGTGTCAGAAGCCCATCCAGCTCGAGACGGCAGAAGGACCTGGTTCATAAGCATTTGAATCCCTCACACAGGTGGTGATTCTAATTGCAGGTGAACCTGGGCCCCCTGCAGACGTGGATGCTTGCCCCCGAATCCCGGGGCTTCCTGGGGTACCAGGCCCAAGAGGACCAGAAGGAACCATGGGGCTCCCCGGAATGAGAGGCCCCCCAGGACCAGGTACGAACCTCACACTGGTTGTTTGTTACTGGCAGCATAGGTTGCTGAAATGAAAATCTGGGTGTTTGCTACGCAGCTTTTGGTATGGAGCCGCAACAACTAGTGGGGATGAAGCAGTGGAAACCTCCTTCCCCTTAAACATCTTCTCTGCATCTGTCCAAAGGTTTAATCATGTAGTAACAGGATCGACACATCCCTTCTGTTGTGATGAGGAACGCCTACTTTAATCTTTTACTTGTGGGCAGCTTTTGGGCATGAGGTATTTGTTTGTTTTTTTTTTTTTTGCGGTACACGGGCCTCTCACTGTTGTGGCCTCTCGCGTTGCGGAGCACAGGCTCCAGACGCGCAGGCTCAGCGGCCATGGCTCACGGGCCCAGCCGCTCCGCGGCACGGGGGATCTTCCCAGACCGGGGCACGAACCCGTGTCCCCTGCATCGGTAGGCGGATTCTCAACCACCGCGCCACCAGGGAAGCCCGGGCATGAGGTTTTGAAACCTCTTAGCACCACAGAGTAGATGCTCTGTGAGTAGTCATTATTAGGTGTTGATTTGACCTTGAATTAAAACCAATTGAATTGGGACCCAGTGGAGCAGAACAGCCTACAGGAAGGGAGAAGGAGGTGTATCACTTGGAAGAGGAAAAGGGAAGAGGGGGAGGGTCACGATAAATTATGGCAAAGATCGCGTCATTCATCTAACGAATCTGAGCATTGCTCAGTCATTGTCAGGGTGGCAGGATTCTTATTTAAGTATTTAAACCAAACCATTCCTTTAAAAGGTGCCCTCCCAATGGTTTATTTTCTCTTCATATATCCCCATCTCATTGGGTAACTTACAAAGAGATTAGAGGGTTTAGGCTGGTCATCTAGAGATAACTTATCTTTTTAGACCAGTGGCAGTGCCTGTGGTTCTAGATACCAAATTCTAGAAACAAATGTGCAAATTAGCCTAAGAGGCATGAAACCGTTCCTCTTCCTGGCTTTCCCACTGCCCAGCTGTGGCTCTGGCTCCTTTTGGTTCAGGGCCAAAGAAATTGGAAGTAAAACCGAATTTTGCACCACCTGTTTTTCCTTGTGTTTCCCCAAACTCAAGTAGCTAAGGACCCAAGAGATGTCCCAGTCCGCTGGAGTCTGTGTAGTTCTTGGGTAGCGTCCCGAACAGCTCTGGAGCCTTGTTTATGTTAGTATGGGGTTCTGTTGTTTGTGTTTGCTGCATTGCATCTGTGTTTGTGCAGTCAGTTAATTGAGTGTGGATGGGAGCAACTTCCTTTAACGGCCCACGGGCGCTGGGAATTGAGAGTAGTTACTTTTTTTTTTTTTTTGGCACTCTTTGCATGAATAAACCCTTAGTCAGTCAATAAACTCATCACTCAACCTTATTTTAAAACCAAGCTGCCTTGTTGTGTATATATCTGCAATATTGAGGGCTGGTCCCATCCCCCCTTTAAAAAATTAACTTTCAAGTAGAAGATGTGGCCTGTAATGGGTTTCTGCAAATTCATTTCAGAGAATACTTCCAGACCCCCTCTACTCTTTTTTTTTTTTATATTTATTTATTTTTGGCTGTGTTGGGTCTTCGTTGCTGCGCGGGGGCTTTCTCTAGTTGCAGAGCGCGGGGGCTACTCTTCATTGTGGTGCACGGGCTTCACATTGCAGTGGCTCCTCTTGTTGTGGAGCACGGGCTCTAGGCGCGCGGGCTTCAGTAGTTGTGGCACGTGGGCTCAGTATTTGTGGCTCGCGGGCTCTAGAGCGCAGGCTCAGTAGTTGTGGTGCACAGGCTTAGTTGCTCTGCGGCATGTGGTATCTTCCCAGGCCAGGGCTCGAACCATGTACCCCTGCACTGGCAGGCGGATTCTTAAGCACTGCGCCACCAGGGAAGTACCCCTCTACTCTTTATAAAATGCAGTACTAGGTGTTGTGGGCAATACAGATGTGAATGAGATGTGGGTCTCACAGCCTCATGGTAGACATAGCTGGCAGATCATAAGTAATTCTAAATAATGGGAAATTATAATTCGTGTTTTGAAGGAGTTTCAAGCAAAAGGCATTAGGAAAACGGGATGGGGAGAGGTAATTCCAGCCTGGAGGATTGCGGGACTCTTAAGACCCCAGCAAGAGCTGGCATTTGAGCAGAGCTTGTAAGGAGAGATTGGACTTTGAGGAACCAGAATTGTCCAACAGGGAGATGGCAGGAGCGCAGTTGGGGCAGGTTGGCCTAATAATCCAGAAACTGAGAACTGGCTACATCTTCGCTGCTCAAAGTGTGGTCTGAGGACCAGTGGCAACTGAGGCCACCCCCCAGACCCACCTAATTAGAATCTGCATTTTAACAAGATCCCCGGAATATCTGTATATACATTCAAGTTTGAGAAACCCTAACTATATTATATGAATGCTGTCCTCAAAAGAGTCAGCTAAGGGTGATGCCTTCTTGAGTGACTCAGTCCTAGCTCTAGGTTAAAGTCACCTGGAGGGGCTTGAAAAAATATTGATGTCCAGGGCTCATCCCAGACCAGCAAAACTCAGAGGGAGACAGGGCCCGAGCATCAGTGTTTTGAGAAAGCTGCCCGGATGACTGTAGCAGGCAGCCAGGGCTGAGACCCATTGCTTCACCCCAATATCATTAGAGACCAGATAGGTAGTTGGGTTCATCTACTGTGGTGGCTTTGGAAAATAACCGAAGAAAGTGACAAAGAAAAAAATCAAATGGGCAAATTCTGCACACTTTAACTTAGTAGTTATCTTGGGCACATAAAAGATTCTCTCTGCATAGATTGTGAGCTTCTGAAAGAGGGCTGACTGTCTCTGTGGTCCAGGTGTGATCACCTGTCATCTCGAATTCCTCCTGACTTGGGGTCGGATGGGCTTATCCAGCCGCAGGTGGCCACAGAACGGCCGTCTCTGGCTTCCCGTGCCCTCTTCTTACTGACGTCACTGACCCTGCCTGCTGACAGTGGGGACACCCCGAGGCCACCGTTGTGCCACAGAATGTGATTGTTATGTTAAAAAAAAAGTGCACAGTCCTTCCCGGCAAGCATCACCCACTTTCCCCAGCCGTCTAACAGTGTGGGCTGCACTGCTCTGTGGTCCAGCTTCCCTGGAGCTCCTTTTGGCCCTGCTGTGTACCCATTCCCAACCCACTGCTTTCTATGGGGCCCCCTCTTCTCTGATACAGCCCCCAACCCAGCTCCTGTTGTAAAGAACCCTCTTTGCCAGCAATGTATTCCCTGGTCCCCTCTCCCTGTCTGCTCCCACTGGCCACCCTAGATGCATTGGCCGTGCTATCCAGTTACTGCAAAGTGACAGGTATATTCTAAGGGTCTAAAGTGGCCCAGCCGTGATGGACTTGCGTCATCTGTCCTTTTCTGAAGGCGATTCTTTCAGCAGGGTGTGTGGGGCTGTAAAGACCACCCCAAGGTTGGTTGTGAAGGATCAGCTGCCCCTGCAAAGTACCACCTTCGCTTAAAATGACATTGTGGTTTTCTTCCTGTTTTCCCTCAACACCTCTTTCATTGCTAAGCTGATTTTGTATCCAAGGGCTGCCGCTGAAACCTACATAGAGAAAAACGAAGTTCTGGCTGTTTGCTACCCAGTATGAGCGGGTAATGGCCACACTAAGTAAAACTTGAGTCTGTTAAGAGCTCTCGATCACAGAAGGTCTAATGCTTCTCTACTCACACATCTCTTTTTTTTTTTTTGCGGTACGCGGGCCTCTCACTGCTGTGGCCTCTCCCGCTGTGGAGCACAGGCTCAGGACGTGCAGGCTCAGCGGCCATGGCTTATGGGCCCAGCCGCTCTGCGGCATGTGGGATCTTCCCGGACCGGGGCATGAACCCGCGTCCCCTGCATCGGCAGGCGGACTCTCAACCACTGCACCACCAGGGAAGCCCCACACATCTCTTTGATCTACAACTTTTCCTTCCTGGGTGGCCCTCAAAGGCTGAGACTTCCTGTGATGAACGCAAAAGTGGTTTCCATTCTGGTTTGAACTGTCACTGCCTAATGGACTTCCCAACATCCTGTTGGGAGTGTTTATCTTCTAGTCAACACGTGACTCTCTCAGAGGAGGGACTCCATCCAACATTGCTGGGCTTTTAGATGTAGGTCTGTTCTGTAAAACAAGTTCCAAGTAGAAAGCTCTGGGTACACAACTCGAGTTAACAAAAGCCTTCCTTCCTGACTCTCAGAAATGTCATCTGCTGACAATTTCCCTTTGTCTTCCCCTAAAGGGAGCAAAGCCTCTATTGTAACATCTGGCAGGGAACTCTTTTCCAGACGGGGCGGTGAGCTCGTCGCATGTCCATACTTGGGAAGGAATGTCTGCTGCCTTGTCTGTGATACGCCCATTGCTTCACTGTCTCATTAGCCCTGGGCAGCCCTTTCCAGGATCGCACAGTAGCCACGTGTTGGAATCACCTCGTTGGGTGGGAGAGAAAAGAGTGCTCTGAGCTCACCATGAGGCCTTAGGTTCCTTCCGAGGTAACGGATATTCTCTTCGAAGCTGGTGGAAAGAGATGCACCAACTCGCGTACCGCAGCGCCATCCAGGAAGAGGCTTCTGCCCAGTTAGGGGAGGGCGTCCCTCCCCTCCATGGGGAGGAGAGGTTTCCTTTCTCACTTACTGAATGGTGACCACGGAAGAACGTAGTCCAGGCACTGCAGGACGTTCCAGGAGAATTTGTTTATGATCCAAGAGGAGACAGAGTGACATCACAGCACCCCGAAAGCCAGGAGCGCCCCCGACGCCCACGCTGAACGTAGTGCGACCAGCGTCGGGTGTCGGGGGGTGGTGGCTGCTGGATGTGGGATGAAAAGAGGAGGTTTGTGGGGGCCACTCTGGCAGGCGATGTTAGGACAAAATGTAAAGGCAGTGACATTTGGGGGGCGTGCACTTCAGATGGCTTTAAGGGTGCCTGTGTGAGAGCGGAGTCGAGTGAGATGTCTGGTCCCCTGAGTACGGCAGGCCCTATGCCACATCCTCAGGTGGCCCCCGCTGCCTTGAAGAACACGTCCCGGCGTGGAAAAGAGGGGCAGCTACTGAAGTGAGCCCTCTTGGACTTAATGGTTGGTTTTAGGCTAATTTGTGGCAGAGAGAGGGAATGGACAGAGAAGACTGATCGAGAAAGGGAGAGAGGGAGAGAGAATAGAGGTAGAGAACAGAAACCTTGAGGGACTCGTGATTCAGGTAATTAGGGGAAGGGCTGCAAAGTCCCCCGCAGGCAGGGACCAAATCTGCTACCCAGACCAAAGGAGATGGTGGCTAATGAACTTATGTCGTGGGCCAAAAGGAGCCAAACACTTAAAGAACCGCTCGAGTCTCAGTGTGACGGCTGGCCGCCGAGGCTCCAGGGAACACGCCTGAGCCCTGGTCACCAAGCAGGGTCTGGAGATGGATGGTGCAGCCTCTGCCCTCGGCCTGCCAGGCCTGTTTCCTCACTACACGTGGTCAGCACCATGGCCTTTCTTAGCCTGCGTCTCCCCACTGGTAGCCTGGCATGTGGGAGCACCTCGTCACGTGGCTCCTGTGAAGACTGAACTGGATAATTCACATAAAGGGGTAGCACCTTGTAACCCTCAACAAAGAACTGTTGTTAAAAATTGCTGCCCTGGGCTTCCCTGGTGGCGCAGTGGTTGGGAGTCCGCCTGCCGATGCAGGGGACACGGGTTCGTGCCCCGGTCCGGGAGGATCCCGCATGCTGCGGAGCGGCTGGGCCCGTGAGCCATGGCCGCTGAGCCTGCACTTCCGGAGCCTGTGCTCCGCAACGGGAGAGGCCACAGCAGTGAGGGGCCCGCGTACCGCAAAAAAAAAAAAAAAAAAAAATTTAACCTGACTCTCAACTAAATGCTATTAAGTTTTATTCATTCCTCCATTCAGGCTTCCAAAAAATTATTCTTAAGGAAAATATTTAATTACAAAAGCCAGATGTGTTCAATGTTAAAAACAACAACAACAACAAAAAACCCAACCAGGTCAAACATACAAGACTAGGAAGAAAATGTGAAAATGTCTCACTCAACACCTCGCTGCTCTGGCTTCAGACCCTGACTCTGCCCGTTAATGATTCATTGGCCTTAATTGATCAAGTTACTTGCTCTCTTAGAGCCTCAGTTACCCCCACTGCCAAGTGGAGACAGTGTAACCCCAACTTCAGGTAGCTGCAGGGATGAAATGAGCCAGTGCAGCTTGGTCCAAATGGGAGGCCCAGGGCTGACACGAGGAATCCACGCAGTAAATCCTAGCCTAGTGGGTGTCACAGTGCTGTCATCATCACCATTGTGAACTTCCCTGCAGGGTGCAAAGGAGAGCCCGGGCTGGATGGCAGGAGAGGCGAGGATGGCCTTCCAGGGTCCCCTGGGCCTCCGGGACACAAAGGTGACATGGGAGAAGCGGGCTGCCCAGGAGTACCAGGTAAGGAGTTTCGGTTTCTCTTCTTTTCCCTGGCACAGTGGATCTAAGACTGTTTACAAGATCCCCTGGCCTCTTAAGCATTTGCCTTAGACATCCACTCACCAGGCTTTAGGGAGACAAAGCAACAAGAACAGAACAGGATGTGTCCTCCACATTTTAACTGATACTCGACCATCATAAAAACAGGTCAAGGCCCTGTGTCCATTATTTTCCCAAAACGCTGTACATTAACCTAAAAGGCTCTGCCATTTCCCCAGGTAAGCCTGGCATTGGCTGTGTGACTGCCACTGAGAGGCTGTGCTGAAGATCTTGGGGACAGCGCGGGTGGTCTCACATCTACAACTGACTGAATCACTTGGCCTCTGGTTTTCTGAGTTCATTCATCTTAGCATACAGCCATCAATCAACTTATATAGAATACAAGGCTGTTCCTTAAGAAAAATATTTGAGAGTGGGCCTTGGATGAGAGGAGATAAGACTCTACAGAATATAAATTTGAACGATAACACACTAGGCAATATGTTAGGGCCCCAAAACTCCCAGATACCCTCTCATCTTTGGAGAGTATCTGTCTGGCAGTACCGGGTTACTAATGAGAAGCAGGTGAAGGGGTGGGAGAGGGACTGAGGACGGGGCACTGCAAGAAAATGGAAGCTGCAGTCCAAAAGCAGCAGCTCAGCTTCGGCTCTGTAGAAATTGTTGCCATGTAGAAATGCGGGCTCAACGTTCCCTACACTCTGCTTTTCTAGCCGGAAATCTTAACTCATCAGATCTTGGTAAGTCAAACAAAACACATGAGCACGATGCAGTCCGCGAGCTACCACTTTGTAACTTCTGGTGTATAGATGAGAAGAGCTGCCAGTCTTCCAGAAACAACACATTTTTAAAACACCGTTTGATTTCAGAGTCTAACCTCACCTTTTGCTTTTGGCAATTAGAAGTAGCCACGGGCCTTCTTCCATGGGTCAGCCCTTTAGAGATGCCAAAGGAGAGGCTCCTGCCCACATTCTGTACAACCGTTCATTTCCCACCAGCCACTTAAAGAGTTCTAGAATTCGGCCCTCCTTCCGCCTCCCTCCCTTATAAAAGAAGAGCTACAAAGCCAAACATATGGATTCCAAGCCCTTGTCCTTCTTAGAATGGAACTGACGATATGGCAGAACAATGGGACAGGTCTGGGAGGTGTCAGAAAGACTAACTTTGAGATTCGCCTTTTCAGAGAGCAGGTTCCCAGTCTAGTCGGAGGGGTCTGGGAGATCCTACATGGGGTGTGTCATTCCAGCTCTTTTCTTCTCAGCACTTATCACTTATTAAGTATTTCACAATTTACCTTTCGATTATGCTTACTGTCATTTCTCTTCTTTGAGTAAAACGTAAGCTCTAGGAGGCCAGGGATTTTCATCTGTTTTTATGCTAATGTAAGACAAGCAGCTAGAAGTTGCTTGGAACAGGTCCTTGCTGGATGAGTTGCTGGTGTACATTGCAGTTGTGTGAGGGGGACATTCCTCTCTGCTCCCTGAGTACTTAGCACAGCAGCAGACGGGGTGGTGTTAAGAATGCTTGTTAAACTGAACTCGCTAAATGGCCTTTATTTATTTCTGTTTCTTTATTCCTCCAGGCCCTCCTGGGCCCGTGGGGGATCCTGGGCCCGAAGGGTTCGGCCCTGTATACCCCAGTGGCTTCCTCCTGGTTCTCCACAGTCAGACAGATGGAGAACCCACCTGCCCCGCGGGCATGCCCAGGCTCTGGACCGGGTATAGTCTGTTATACCTGGAAGGACAGGAGAGAGCTCACAATCAAGACCTTGGTACGTAGCTGGCACGCGGTCACCCAGATTCATTGCTTAAGAGCAAAACTTTGGGGTTAGTTTTACGGATTCATCAACATCTTAAACGATCAGTCATCTACGGGATTTTTTTTCTTTTTCAACTACCATGCTAATTCTCAACTAATTCTGTTAAACCTATGATCCTGAGAGGTGCCAAAGCAGCTCATTCTGGCTGTAGTTATTATTATCTGACTACTTATTATTAGTTAAAAAAAATAATTCTTAAGGGTAACTCTGATATAAAGTGCAATTTTTATTTCTCAGTGTAAATGATTTGATCAGGATATGGTTGGTTCCTGAGTTTAGATGTAAAATGGTACCCTGGTGGTTATATGGTGTGGCATTAGCCAGCATCAACTCCTCAACCTACGCCAATTTTTAAAATTGAAATACATTTGACATATAACATGATGTAAGTTTAAGGTGTACAAAAGTGTTGATCCGATATATCATAAGATGATTCCACTGTATCGACAGTTGCCACCTCCCTCGTATCACATAACTATCACTTCTTTTCTGTGGTGGGAATAATTAAGATTTAATCCTTAGTAAATTGATGATTAGGATACAACATTGTTGTCTATATTCATTCCACTGTGCATTAGATCACTAGGACTTATTTATCTACTGTTTGCAAATTTGTACCTTAAGCAACAACATCAGCACTTTATTCAGGGAGTTATCCTTGGCGCTATCTGTCAGTTTTCAATAGTGGATTTGTGAGCCGCAGGAACTGATTTTTAAGCCGAGGGTTGAGTCCCCCCGCCCCCTGGGTGCTGGCACTCGTGGTCTCCCCGAGATAGTGGTCGCTGGAGTGGTGGGTGCAGGAGGGCTGTGCCCACAGGGACAGCTGGTGTTAAGGTGAGTCTCGTCACGGCTCTCATTGGGCTGTGACACCCCCTCCCAAGTCCATAAGGGTGGTGAAAGGGTGCAGGCCTAGAGGGGCAGCTACTTACATGTGTACCATGGGTCACTTCCCCTGCCCTGGTCTAACCAGAGCCACCATGGCCTCGCTCTGCAGAGCTTTGGGAATAAAATCCAAACTCCTTAACAAGGTGGACAGAGCCCGCATCCTCTGGTCTGATTTACCTTGGGATGCCCTTGAGACAGACCCAGACCTGCTCTCGCCACCTTCCCCCCAGTGAATTTCTTTGAGTTCTTTGAGCTCCATGCCCCCTTACTACCCCTGGCCCTCTTTACTGCTGTATAAATAGGCCTTTCCTTTGAATGGTCACCACCATCTCCAGACCCGGCCAGATCTTTTTCATAATTCAGGTCCTAGCGTAGAGTCACTCTTTCCAGCCATCCTTCTTGTAAGCCCCAGTGCCTCCACTTCTCAGGGCTTGTGCTGCTGTGTTCCCAGGGCCCGTCTGCCCCTCCCGTTCCCCCATCAGGCCGGGCTAGGAGCTTCTTGAAGCTCTCGGGGAAGAGCTGTGCTCACCTCTCCCTCCAGCACCCGGCCTACTGCTTGGCTCCCGAGACAGTGACAAGTGGCCGAGGGAATGCGGGCTGGCCCCTGAGACCGCGGAGGCGGCCCAAGAGGTCAGGGGCACACCGTGCTCTCGCCGCCATAGCAGCAGGCTTTGGCCAGAGCCTCCCGATGCCAGACCGTGTGCGCGCAGATGGGCCGTGTCGGGGAGGCCGCTTCTGCACCCCGCACACCATGCTGCTGCCTTCCCTCCCAAGGCCTGGCGGGCTCCTGCCTCCCCATGTTCAGCACGCTGCCCTTCGCCCACTGCAACATCCACCAAGTGTGCCAGTACGCCCGGAGGAACGACAGGTCCTATTGGCTGGCGAGCGCCGCGCCGTTGCCTATGACGCCGCTCTCGGAGGAGGAGATCCGCCCGTACATCAGCCGCTGCGCCGTGTGCGAGGCCCCCGCGCAAGCCGTGGCCGTGCACAGCCAGGACCAGTCTGTCCCGCCGTGTCCGCGGGCCTGGAGGAGCCTCTGGATTGGGTACTCTTTCCTGATGGTGAGCCCCTGCGCGCCCGCCGTCCCTAAGCCCCCTTCCGTCCGGACTGGACCGAAATTCTGAGAGTCCTGTGCAGACCGGACGGCAGTAGGACATGGGGTCACGAAGGCCACCACAGACTATAGCCTGTGGAGATGCAGGGCCACTCTTTTTTCTTATTGTCCATGTTTTTTTGTTTTCTTTTTTTAAACTAACTTTGGTAGAATTTGGAAGATGGGTTTGCATCAGCCCTCAGCGAAAGTGGTTTATTGTTGCATGCACACCCCTCACGTCTCCCGCGCCTCCTTTCCTCAGCAGATTGTAGTTTCTCCCTCCTGGGATGATTTTCAGGGAAAATGTAAATCAGGCCCAGACCTCGGCGTGTCACTGGATGGGTAGGGGGTTGTCTGCAGATGTCTGAGCCCTAATTCTCTCTTGTTGTCCGGGTAGCACACAGGCGCTGGGGACCAAGGAGGCGGCCAGGCCCTCATGTCACCCGGCAGCTGCCTGGAGGATTTCAGAGCTGCACCGTTCCTTGAATGCCAAGGACGTCAGGGAACTTGCCACTTTTTTGCAAATGAGTATAGCTTCTGGCTGACAACTGTGAGACCTGACTTGCAGTTTTCCTCAGCACCCTCACCGGACACCTTGAAAGAAAGCCAAGCCCAGCGCCAGAAAATTAGCAGGTGCCAGGTCTGTGTGAAGCACAGCTAGAGAACCCGCCGCTTGTCATCAGGTCACCAAGAGAAATTTGCTAGGAGGTGAAGGCATCCTAGGCTGTGCTAAGAGATTCAGTGGTGCTCATCTTGGACTCCTGGTTTAGCTGTTCCTTCTGTTTCGATGTGGTTGTTCCCACAGTACTGTAATCCCTTCCTCCGTTTGGGACAGATTAAGCAAACGCTACACGTATGGATTTGTTTGGACCTACCAACCTACATGAAACCCGGATATTCTTAGCTGGCTTTATTTAAAAGTATGCTAATTCAGGGGAAGGCAAATAGATGATACAAATTACATTACTGAAAACGTCATTCATTGGTTAATAGCAACTCAAACAATTGAAGTCAATTAGTCTGTAATACAGTGGGCTTCTGGATGGATTTTACAGGAAAAAATAAATAGGCCAACAAACGAAACTAGAAAGTAGAGATTTCCTACGTTTCAAAATGATTTCCTCTGTAATCTGTTTTTCCATGCACTTTAATTGTAAAACTATGACCCACGGAGATTAAACAAAAATCCACACAGCCAGCCTGAAGAGTTCATTTCAAAGCAGAATGAATCATTATGCCAGGAAGGACCACGGTCGCTGTATTCCAGAGATGCGACATTAGCATAAAACACATCACAGATGAACATAAAACATTATGTTCTCTTCTGCATTTTTCAGAGAACAGAAATGCCTGCTTTGGCAACCCTTTGGAAAAGTAGCAATTATGGAAAAATATACGTCCAGTGAGGGATTAAGAGTCGAAAAGCTATTAATGAATATTAAGGCAGCGATTCACAAGAATTGACTCCCCACTGCCGTCAACTTCCAAACAGACTGCTTTTGCCCAGTCGGGGTCTGGCTTGTCTTCCAGTGTGCGTGCTAATGGGACTGGAGCCACATGGGGCCATGTTCACATAAAGCATCCTGTTCCCCTCCCTGGGGGCGCCTGCAGAGCTGCCTCACAGAGAGGGCCTGCAACGGACACTTTCCCTCCATCCACATAATGGCATCTCATACGGGGAAGTGACAGAGCTATCATTATGCACTTGGGAGAAAATTAAGGGCCGACTTAATTAAACTTAGGTAAGAAGATTCATTTAAGTCATCATCACCCCATGCCCCCAAAAGACCTAGCACTCTTTTAAATGAAACAAAGATAACCTACAACTTGAATTTTATGTTCCTGTTATTGGTTTTTACAGGAGCATCCTGCTTTTCTAATCTTAAAAACATTCTTACATTTTATATCAATCAGTACTAGAGCAAAGCAGCAGTTTGATATTTGGCATTAACATCTTCTGTAAAAGCTTAGAAGATATGTCACTTTATAGTGAGTAATTTTCTGTATAGCAAAGGATAGGTTTTCTATTTTGCTGGGAATTCAGTGGTCTAATGCTAAAAGTTAGAAGGCTTATTGGAAAAGATTTCTAGGAAACTTGCCTTCCTTATTTAAATAAATGTTATTCTAGAGAAAACTAAAGAAATTTCTCACGAGAAAGTGACATTCATTTCAGTGCTTATTTTCAATGCCCTTAATAATTAAGAAAAACTCAATTAAAACTTTGTTTATAAGAAATGCTTTCCTTGGCAAACATTGATTGGGAGTGTGCACTTACATGCAGAATATATTTCAAATGAATTTTGCTCTGGGGTGTCCCCCGGATGGGGGGACAATTTATTTTAAGGCTACTTCCTGGTAAGAAGAAAAAATATACATTTTAAGAGGAAATATTGTCTTGATGTACCAGAATATTTCCTAGTTCATTTGACCCATTTATTAATTTTTTGAAACTCTCCTATGGCATGCTAAATATTTGGTATTGAACCCAATTTCAACCTTGTTTATAATTACAATTTTGTTGCCACAAGTTTTATCATATATTATCAAAATTCAAGCCTTCTAAAATTTCATCATGTTCATTCATGAAATTGGTCCGAGAACACTTTCTGGGAAGAGGTAAGGGTGATCGATGGGCCATAGGAAACATATCTTGCTTGCTATTTTAAACACCTTAACTTTGGTATTAGAATTATCTTAATAAGCTGGTCAAATAAATTTTGAAATAACAGCCCGAATTAAGTGGGCACGTTCCTGCACAGTGAGTCCTCCACAGTGAGTCAGCCCCCTCCTGAAAAATAGCTTACTTTTCCATAAACTGAAATTTCAGAAATAAGATTTGAGAGATGTGACAATGAGAGAAGACTCTTCATGGAAATGTGATATGACTTAACTCATGCTGTAATCTGTATTCCCTCATGATCGTCAAAGCGTTCTACTATAAAATCACCTCTACAGAGTTTGTGTACCTGTTACTGGTGCTTGGGAAAAGAGGGACAGAATGGTCCACTAAAACTGGACTTTATCAAGGATTTTATTTTGAGCCTCTTAGAGATGATAATAAAGGAAATCATTCTGTTTTCCAGGAAATTACATTAGATTTGTGCTTCTATCGGCTCACCAGACTAAAATGATAATAGTTACTTTTATTTGGTGTGGCTGCAAGAATAGTGGAAAGATGTGCCTTTAGAGTTGGTTGAATCCAAGCTTCAATCCAGCTCTGTCACTCTCCAGAGGTGTTACCCTGGGTGAGTTATACCAACTCCCTGAGCCTCATTTTCCACATTTACAAAGTGGGACGTAACACCTACTCTTGCATTGAAATTAAGTTAGATTCTATGTCCAGCAGATAGCAGACCTTGTATATTTATTATGGCCACATCTTCTATTTAAAACAAGCTGTTTAATATGAAAAATGTTTCTTGGGATTCTTTACATAGTAGAATTAACATAAGGATTCTCACAGGGCATATAAATTACTGATTAGAATTATTTATACCTGGCCAATTCTTAATGTCTTTGGGAATGCTATTTTATTTCAATTCTCAAAGTTATTGTACCACACACACAAAACTCACAATTTCCTGCAGGGTCCTTATCAGGAAGTTCTGCAGGGAACAAAACAATTGACATTAAAAGTCAGTACTCTGCAATTGTCACTGTTATTATCTGCCAGAGACTCTGCATAATGCATTTTCGACTACCAAGGCTGGCTGCCACATCTGTGTGAAATGCTTGAATTTTATGGTGCTTAAATATTTAATGATTCATAGGAAAAAATGTGAAATGTGTCTGATAAGTTGCATCCCTTTCTCTAACCTAGGGTTGTAAAGTTAAAGACTTTCAACATGTAAACTTTGCAAGATGCCTGACCTGCTATTGACATTGAAATCTTGTATTACAATTTGTAATATCACTTATTACGTATAAAAATTCTGCAATGACCTCCAAAAACAACTGTGTTTTATCTGGTGCATTAATTTTCTTTCAAGCCAAAGTGAGTTTACTACTTAACCTACCTTGTAATACAGCCTACCTTGGGTCTGGCTCAGGGAAGACAGGAAAGGTTACACGTGGTAGAGGTGCGATCTGCAGATGGGAAGAGCATGTGAGCAGAGTGTGGAAAGTGACCCCCTTGGCTTGGGAAAGCGTGGGATTCTGAAGCTCCTGGAAGCACTGTCCTGTACACAGTGATGGGGTGGGGTAGACATGAAATCAGGCCTCAGGGCCCGGGCCGTCCTGCAGCAGCCTCTGCTGAGTTGCATGCACCCTCCAGCATGGGGCAGAGACCCCGCGGGTCTCAGCTGTCCCATTAGTTGAACCACCTGTTTCACAAGGTTGCTGTAAGGGTCAAGAGTAAGAGATATGATTACAAAGAGATATAAAACGTTAGGTACTGTTACTGATGACCAGAGTAACTGGCAGTTAGGGGTTTGTGATGATTATATTTTTATAGCCCACGCACTGCTGAGCACAGGGGTGGCTGCAGTGCCGATATTCACAGGTAATATTCACCTGTTTCATGAAGTAACTCTTTTTAAGTAGGAGGGAACTTGAGTGGTATTTGGTCCAACTTCTCAACAGAAAAATAATGCTGTTTAATTAACATTTCTTGAGCACCTACTATGTGACAGAAACTGTATGAACCCTGTTATAGGTGCTCCCCTCAACCTCTCAACTATCCTATTTCACAGACGAGGAAACTGAGGTTTGGAGAGAATGAATAACTCGCTCAGGGTCACACAGTCAGCACCCAGTAGAACTTGAACCCTGGTCCATCAGTCGCTAAAGATTGTATTTTACCCGCACCATCACCTCCCATACTATTGATTTCATTACATAATTCTCTTCCCAAGCAGCAATATGTATTACCTCCAAATTCAATGATTTCTACTAGCAATGTTTCAGTTTTCCTTGATAAAGTATAAATCGTATGTTCCAATCTGTCAGTTCATCTGAAGATCTAAACAAGATGTCAAGATCACTCTCTCCTTGCCCCTAAAGAAGAAGAAAAAAAAAAAAAGGGTTAGCACAGACACATCAAACACACCTGCAAAAGTACAGTGGCCAGATTTGGCAGTACCCATAGGGGCTCCCTGGTGATACTCTTTGAATGTCCTGGAATCTTGAGTTTTGTGCAGTAGGTCGCAGCATTCGTGACGTGGGGCATGCCTCAGACTGACACAGGGAGGATGGAGACCTCTCCCCACCATGTGGTGAGCATGCTGTCTTATGAAGTGTTGGGAAAGGCCTGGATTTTTCTGTTTCTATGGACAAAAGCTTTCTTTCAAGTGATTCTTTCCTGTGATTCAAGAAAACACACACACACACACACACCCTCAACAGTATCAAGCAGCCACGGGCACCTCTTCATGTGTGCCACTGGCGATGGTATAAATGAGCTTCTGTTTCAATCCACAAACGTTTATTGGTTTTGACATTCCAGACAAAGCATTGTTTCAGGTACTGTGAAGAGATACACAGTAACACATGCAGGGTTCCTGCCCTTGTGAAGTTTACAATCTAGAGAGAAAGACAGTCCTCTCACTGAAGGATAACTAGCAATTAATTCTAAGTGGTCTGTGGTAACTGTGATGAACACCCTATAAGAGCAGATCATTCTGGGTTGTGGTGTCTGATGGCAGGACGGGGAGAATCTGGATGGGCAGAGGGAGAGGAAAAGGTTGCTTCAGTTAAGTCACAGGGTCAGGAAAGCTCGCAGCTTGGACGGCGAGACCAGTTAGCAGCACAGACTCTGTTATGGATACGGGGGGATGAGGCTGAAGGGCTGGCTGGAGCCCCATGGTTGAGGCAAATGGGTTTGACCTTTATCCTTTGGCAACAGAGAGACAATAGAAGGTACTGAGATGGTGAGTGGCATCACAAAAGTAGGTTTTGGAAGATAACTGGCAGCGCTGTGTAGAACTGAGTGAAGAGGTATTTTAAGTATTGAGCAATGTACTGAGAGATTTTAAGGTCCTTCTAAGCAGGGAGTCTGTGACTCTAAAATGAAAGACTAGGGGCAAAAAAAAGGAAATGACTGCAATAATCCATGGGAAGGGAAAGGAAGAGATGACAGGTTTGTTTTGTTTTGTTTTAATGACTATTTGACTCTCCCAAGATGAACTAGGACTTGGGAAGTCGGTGGCAAGTTGGCCACACCCTCTGTTTTACTGTCCTTGTTTGGTGGTGGGTCTCAGCCCTTTAACTTACTCCCCAAGTGGCGGAATGTGTGACCAATATGTAGACTGGCCCCGATTCTACAAAAACCAGCCATTTACTGTCTGGGCCTCAAAAACAGACAGCTTAAAAGCACAGAGGAGCCTTGAACAATCATGTACAACTTTGGAATCACCGGCACTAAATACTTCCAAGGTCGCAAAGAGGAAGCAATTTAACTGCTCCCTCATCTTGAGAACCAAGGAAAGATTCTGAATTAAGAGGTCTCATAAGTTGACTAACCACAACCAAAGTGTGGGGATGTTTAACAATCAGGAAATTACTATTAAAGCAAAGAAACCAAATTTAAAACCAGCTCTAAATGCTTATTTCCTATTAGAGACAGTCGAATGCACTGGCTTTTGTCTTTCTCAATCCAATTCCAGTTTTTTGGCATAACTTTGGAGATTCCTTCTTGTAGGAAAAAAAATAAGACGGATGTTGAAAATAATAAGCACTGGTTACAAGTAAGCCTATTAACTGAACAAAGTAATTATAGTAGTTTCCAAAACACCTTTACTGTTGTGCTAAGATAACCGGTTTATATTTGTAACTAAAGTGACCTTTCCCACATCTGTAAAGTTTAGTGATGTTCCACTCCATAAATAAAGACGGCGTGCATATTACAGGTACACATCTGAAATTCAGTTCTGGTGTCTTTATATCTGACAAGTGAAACAGAGCAAGGAGCTACTATTATTGGACTCAACAGCAGTAAAAAAAAATATATATATATACTTCCATATATAGTGGTTGGACTTTTAATGCATTGAAAAAAACACTTTGGGGAAGCTAACATTTAATAAGCCCCTACTGGGAGCCAGGGGCCAGCCTTTGGGTGGCAGGGTTGAGGCGGAAGTGTAGAGTTAACAAGACACAGGCCTCATTCCAGAGCCATTCATAACCCGCGCTCCCATGCAGAAGGCACGTCTTTCTACAGTTGTGCACAAAAAGTCATAGGGCAAGATGTAAGTGTTATAACAGAATTACCTTTACAATGTGCTATGAGAAGATGGCATGTTAAGAATGAGCTTACTCCGGGCCTCCCTGGTGGCGCAGTGGTTGAGAGTCTGCCTGCCGATGCAGGGGACGCGGGTTCGTGCCCTGGTCCGGGAAGATCCCACATACCGCAGAGTGGCTGGGCCCGTGAGTCATGGCCGCTGAACCTGCGCGTCCGGAGGCTGTGCTCCGCAACGGGAGAGGCCACAACAGTGAGAGGCCCGCGTACCTCAAAAAAAAAAAAAAGAATGAGCTTACTCCCAACAGAGGTCATGGGAAACAAATTCGAAGAGTTTGGGAGAAAAGAGGAATGACATTTAGCTTGAACATTTAAATTTTAAAATGTTTGAAGCTACGAGACTCAGAGATACAATTCATACTCTAAACATGCTGTACGTAGCTTTATATCAATCAAAAATTAACCCAAGGAGCTCAGGTAACACGTGACAGCTGGCAGGTCAAGGTGCTCCCAGGTCCCACGTGGTGATTTTCTTAGCTCATGTACATGCAAGTGGCAAAGCCTCTCCCAGGTCAATTCAGATTAGGAACCGGATACAAAACTGCATAGTTGGTATGCTCCAAATCTGTCAAATGTATACAAAGACTGAGAAAGCAATATCCCCAAAATGTTAACCCTGGGTACCTCTGAGTGGTGGGGATACCGGTGATTTTTTAAATCGCACATGTATTTTTTTGTATTTCTGTTTATATTGTAAATTTTATCAGCGGATACACAATACTTATTATTGAGTCCATTTTCCTGATTATATATTTCTTGATTTATTATCATATAAATCAGTTTTCCTACTGCAAAAGTAGTACACATAACATACGTATACACACATTTTTAAGAGACAGCAATACAAAATCATAAAAAACAGAAAGCAAACTCCTATGCACTCCACCTTCCAAAATAACCTCTGTTAACATGTGGGTACATTTCCTGCCAGATGTTCGCTTTATGCATATACAACGTATATATATTACTTTCATAATCAGAAAACTATATAAATGCCAGATAAAGCAAAACAGGAAGATCCTTTTCTGCTTCTAACTCCCTTTAAACATAAATATCTCAGTGAAATAAGACATCAGTGATATGTGACTTTTTCCTTTTATTCATGAAACACAAGCACCAGGAAACACCTTAAGTGACTTGCAGTCTGTGGGTTTGGGGAGTGTCTTGGACGGGTGAGTAGGACAAGCGGCTGTTAACAGTGGTCAATTAAAAGGCACTTTTATGAGAAAAAAGTACTTCGTCACGAGGGATTTCTCAGTGACCAACCCACTGGTCACTACTCTGGCTGCTCTGCTGGTTAGTTCAATTCAAGCTGCATCTCCGGGATGGTACATCGCCACTGGAGAGGCTGCTGGGAGCCCAACTGTGGATGCCGCCTGCTGTGTCATGGAGTGTGTAAGTGGTTTCCCATCTGAGGTCTTACTTAAGCTTTTCCAGTTACACATCCCGTGAAGGCAGAGTGATAGCATAGCAAAGCAGGTTCACTGCAACCACCATCCAGATATGGGGGGCCCAAGGAGCCAAGGCGCTTGGGCAAGGGAGACCGGAACGACAGCCTGCGATGGTAGCCACGTCCTGTTCCTGGAAAGTCACCATGGCAACATGCCAGGAGGATGAGGGATGGCTCCCTGCTTCCTTCCAAGTCGAGCACTGAGCAGAATGAGGGCCTGACCTTCTGGGCTGGTGAACACAAACCTCTTGGCGAAGGTCACGGTCTTCAAAGACAAAACAAGGCTGAGTCAGCAGTGAGAGAAATGAGTGTGGAAACTGGTCCCTAGGTGGAGACGCTGACTTTCTGTCTGCAAGAAGACAAGGCCAGGAGGTGGGCCACTCCCAGAGAGCTGTGAGCTGCATCCAACAAGCCTGGTCTCAAGATGTCAATCTGCTTGCAAATTAGACTCACAGAGGCCATAGGACGAAGGGCCACGGCAGATGTGAGCAATTGGGACGGGCACAGTGCCCTCTGCTTTTGTTCAAAACTAAGTGGGGGCTTGGAGGCAATGATAACACAGCTGGATCACACTTGTTCACACGGCTGGGTCACCTCACTGGCCGTCGAACCTGTGAAGCCGCTTTCTCCTCATTACTTCTTCTGGTGTGAGATGGAACCGATAGGCCGGGGGGCTATTTCTGCGATTTCCTGTAGAGAGAAAGCACGAGGGAGAATCAAGCGCTGCCCATCCACTGTCCTGACATTTACAGGGCACTGCATCCTAGGATTCCCAAGGGGGAAAAAAAGATGGCTTGGGTGTCATCTTTATATTAGCATGAAACAGAAATGTAACAAACATATTTCAGAGGTCAATACTACATTTCAACAAAAAGTAAACATTTTTAGCGAGGTCCAGTCCATGAAACTAATTTGACTCATTTTGAAACTTCTTGACAATCCTCCCATTTCTATGTCCTTTTCCATCATGTTACACAATTTGCATCATTTAATTTCCAAAATGTCTCAAGGGTTTACTTTATTTCTTTTAATGCCCAGAAATAACTGTCACTGTCTGTAACATCCTCACCCAGTGTGCTCGTAGGGTTCTCCTATTGGGCCCTTTTCCTCCCTCTAACCTGCTGCCTCCTCCCTCTAACCTGCTGCCTCCTGTACTTCCCCAGCTGGTGGGAATCATGCCTGCCTGAAACTCACAAGCCCCCACAGGGCATCATAGCCCATAGAGCAGAGGCTGTGTTACCATAATGACCAATATCTGGGCAGGCAGACAAAAATGCAGGCATAATATTTGAAGATCATGTGGGCCATGGAAATCATCACTGAAAAGGGTTTCTCGGGGCTACAAACAGAACATATAATTTGCAGTGATATAAGCATTTCAATCACTGCATTAAAAAAAACACTCTTCCAGGCACTGTAGGGGGATAATAAAGGAATAACAATAGACAGTCCTTGACCTCAAGGATCCAGAAACCTAAATCTAATGAAAGAGCTTCAATATCCTCCATGAGGCAGCCATGCAGGGCGTCACTGATGGATACATGCAAACAGTAGGTTCACGTCTAAGCATGCAGACCAGAAAGATTGCACCTTTCCCCTTCTGAGCCTCTGCTAACCTTGTAAACTCACTCTGAAAGGCCCACTCCCATCATCTCCCTCCATCGAAAGTCCTACTCATTTTCCAACGCCCCATCGAAATCGCACTGCCCTCTGGCCACCCCCAATGGAAGAGCTCTCTCCCAATTCAAGTTCCTCAGCTTCCAGCACCTTCCTCTCAGTGGTCCGCATGCAACAGTCACCACATCCCACCAGACAGGGCAGCCACTGTGCATACCGCTGCTCTCTCCTACTGGAATCACAAGCTCTCAAATGGCAGGGAACATTTCTGACATTTCTCTCTGCTCCCCAGTGCCCGGTACAGCCCCGCACACACAGAAGCTGTTCAAGAAAAATAAGGGCCTGACTCAGCGGCACATGCCTATGACTTCCAAAGGTATATGTTACGGCCAGACCACCACATTCAACGTTGCCCTCTGAGGTTCTGACACAACTGACTCTGGAAGCCCTGGCCTAGCTGGGAAGGGTGGATGGGCAAGAGGGTCAGAGCCAGGAGGGAAAACAAGTGAACAGTTGACCCCACCCGCTCTCGCTCCAAGCGTGGTACCTTGTCGGAGACGCTGACAGGTAATATATTGACATGGTGGTTGTTAAGACAATGATGAAAAGATGTTAGAGAAAGTGTGAAACTAGGAGTCAGTTTGCTAAGCCACCACTAGAATTTCAGTTGTCAGACAATGAGAACTTTCTAAAAAGGCAGTCAAAAGCAACCCCTTTTTATATTTTTTCCCCCCACAGTGATAGAGACCCCAACACTTACCCATGTCTGATTGTCCTTTCCTTTTGAGACGTGAGGGAATTACCCCTGCTGGACCCCTTGTAACATTTCCTGACTAGTCCACCCAGAAGTGATCCTGGTGGGCCAAGCCTGGCACTCACTCCCGCTGGGTAAACTCCACTTGGAGGTTTTTTGATAAGTGAAGTATATGTCATTTTACCAACTTTCACTAAAGATGCTGTTCAAACGTGTAAGACTTTTACCATAAAGATTTTATGAATACTATAAGATTCAAAGTTTTACTGGATATGGTTTTCACCACATACATTTGTAAAGGAATTTCTCTCTGATCAAAGTGGTAAACACTTTGAAATTACAGAGAAACTCATGAATCCAATTACCATTAGTTTATTGCTTAAAAGTGCTTTATACAATGAGCTCCAACTCCTGCTTTCCTTTTAACGGTTGTTTTTAACAAGTCCATTCTTAATTGTACTTATGAGCGCGGGCCAGTGTACGACAGCCCATTCCAGCTGGGCAGGGAACTGGGAGGCCTGGCTGTGGGCGGAGTTAGAAGCAAGCTCAACGTGGCATCTTGACTCCAGGCCACAGGGCACGAGCCCATAGATGCTGAAAGATGCTCAGACTCCCAAAGGGAATCACAGTGTCCAAGAGGAAAAGCCTGTTCCATGAAGGGAAATGCAGGGAGGAATCAGAGGGGGCAGACTGTGAAGATTCTGGGGGTTCAGCTCTCAAAATGGCCAGCCGGCACAAATGCTCTCTAGACCCATGCTCGGGGCATTTAAGGAGAACCACGGCTGAGCCAACAGAAGAAATGCCACGTGCTGAAACTCACATTAAGAGAGGAACAATAATCACTCTTTCACAAGAGCCTTTTTTTTTCTTTTTTTTTTTTTTTTGCGGTACGCGGGCCTCTCACTGTTGTGGCCTCTTCGGTTGCGGAGCACAGGCTCCGGACGCGCAGGCTCAGCGGCCATGGCTCACAGGCCCAGCCGCTCCGCAGCATGTGGGATCTTCCCGGACCGGGGCACGAACCCGTGTCCCCTGCATCGGCAGGCGGACTCCCAACCACCGCGCCACCAGGGAAGCCCCACAAGAGCCTTTTAAGGTATCCAATTTGAATTAGCTTTTACTCCCAATTTCATGATGCCAATTTTACAGATGAAAAAAACTGAGGCTCAGGGAGTGTTAGGGACACACCTAAGGTCACAAAGCTAGCGTGAAGGCAAGCAAAAACTTGCACCTATCGGTCTTCCGGCTGCAGTTCTAGCTCTCCTCCTCTTCCACAGCCCCACACTGCCGATCCTACTAACACGCCGAGTATGTTATCACAACCCTTCGCTGTGCCTTATCCTCCTGCCAGAACCCAGAGGGTCCCTTTCCTTCATGGATATGCAGGGAGCTCACTGTTATCTGAAAATAGAAAAAGAAGAAGATCCAGCCTAAGCTCTCAAATCGACTGGGCTGTGCTGTCATCACAGATGTGACTACAAAGTTCCCGCACTGGGTCCCCTTAAATTCTACTGACTACTAGAGTGGTTTGGGTTTTTAGGACCCCTGGAAAGGCCTTGTGTATAGCAACAAAACAACAGTAATGACAACGCCCGATGTTGATTTTTTTTGTGGGTATTTTAAATCCTTCAAACTCAGTGTTTCTGTTAACATCAAAGCCACCTGACTGTCTGCAGAATGATTTAACTGCTTCATTTCAGCCTTTGAACTGCATTCTTCTTGCTGGTAGTTAGTTTTCTTGGAAAGTTTTCAAGACTAAATTAACCTGTGACATGTTGAAGGCAGTTATGTATTTGATGTCAGTCAGCCAAGCCCCCGACCCTGTTCGTCACATCTGTGCTCTGGGTCAGTGCCACACTGGGGACCAGGCCTCCAGCTGCGCCCCTCCGCCTCAGCTAAGCTCTGTCTTCCAATTCTCCACCTTGTCATTTATTTTTAAACCATTTCTATATTTTCCGCTTGTGTCACATGACCTATTATTTCTCTCCTTAGCCTCCAGGACCCTCTGCAGGCATTTCTCAAAGGGTCTAAGAAATGCGCTTTCCACATCTACCTATATGTATTAAGCACACAGAAAAGGATCTGGATGGGCCTCAGCTAGACGGTAAAAGGAGAAGAGGTCCCCATGGGTATATTGGAAAAAGTGTTGCTAGGAAAATGGGAGATGCTTCCGGCCCTGCCTGGAACTAGAGAGGACACCCCAGGCAAGTCTTCATTCCGGCAGGCTTTGGTTGGTTCACTTGTCAGGGGAGAGGGTGCAGAACAAGGTGGCTGCCAGGGTCCTTGCCGTGACTCTGGAGTCTGATGACTGGGATAAAATCCTGACTCTTCCACTTACAGCTACACATCCTTGAGCAAGTAGGTTACCTTCACGCGGCCTTAGTTTCCTTACCTATAAAATGCAAATAGTAACAGTAGCTCTTTTGCTGGACTGTTGAGAGAATAAGAGAGGATGCATATAAAATGCTTAGCTGAGTGCCAGCAGTGCAGTTAATGCCTGATGAGCACTGGATGTCAGGACTTCTAACCTCTAACATCACTGAGAATCATATGGGTTAAATGGCTACCTGTTCATATCACTGGCTAAAAGACAGATACCAAATAAAATGACCAAAGACTTCTTAAAAGATAGAGCCCAATTCTGTTTGAGGACCAGTTGGCAGTGTTTTGTACAAAGTGTGGAGTCACTACTTACTAAATACTTGTCCTCTAAGAGACAGATACGAAAAAGGTAATTCACAACCTCCACATGCCAGCACACTTTTGTGACTTTCCGGCACTGCGAAAACTGGAGAGCCCAGCTGAGACCTCTTTTCTCCACTGAGTTAAATCATGCATTGAACATTTACAGGTCTGGGTGAAACAGCCTTGCTCTGATGAACTTGGTATAGAACATTAGTATTTACGAGCCTTGCTTCTATGGTCCTGTAAATGGAGGTCAGCCCTCAATTTTACTCAAAGAAACAGTGAGCATGCTTCAAAGGACCTCAGGAGCAGTGCCCAGTTTAAGAAGATTTAGCTCAATTATAGCACCAGTAGTGAGATCATAAGATTTATTGATTTGTGGTTCTTGATGGAAAAATTTTCAGTTCTCTACCCTTATGTATAATGCAGTAACCTCTGCATTTTACATCTAAGGGAGGAGAAGCAATTTCATCCACATAAGAATTGCTAAAAAGAATGCCATGAGTTGATGGCCATTTCCCCTACTGTTCGCCAGCCCTGTAAATAGAGATGTTTAATTTGCTGTATTCATAGATCCTGCCCGTGATCTGACGAGCCCTCTATGCCATTCAGTGAAATTATACTAAAGTGAAGCCTCAAGATGGCTTATCTTTCCCTTAAATTGGGGACCTATGGAGGCAATCACTTAAAAAAATTTTTTTTTTAAACCAAGAAACCTCTAAATATTCCTGTACTCTCTGGGATTGCTTTTGTCAAATGAGGGCAACAGCATGGGACCCATATTCTCTCTTTCAAAAATGTTACTTTATTAGAATTCCATGAATTCTAAAGCTTCCAAAATGTCTTTTGACAGGACAGTTGCTAAGTCATTTACTATGACCAAAAAGGCCTGGAAGGAACCCCAAGTCCAACAATTAGCAAGATATTCTTTTAAAGTAGGAGGTGCCCAAGGACAATACGAGCACTTTCCTTTTTGAGGCACTAATTATAATGATCTGTCATCTTTCCATCCGTCCATCGCTTTAAAAAGAGTTTGAGGGCTTCCCTGGTGGCGCAGTGGTTGAGAGTCCGCCTGCCGATGCAGGGGACACGGGTTCGTGCCCTGGTCCAGGAAGATCCCACATGCCGCGGAGCGGCTGGGCCCGTGAGCCATGGCCTCTGAGCCTGCGCGTCCGGAGCCTGTGCTCCGCAACGGGAGAGGCCACAGCAGTGAGAGGACCGCGTACCGCAAAAAAAAAAAAAAAAAAAAGAGTTTGAAATTCACCTAAAAATCTCATAACTTTCATACAGATGGAAGTTTCATTATGGTTTACAATAAAGGTAACATTTAGATGTGATTTGAGAGAGAAAAATTCACATTTCCACTCCTCAACTGATCAAATCAACAGTGGTGGGATTTCTTAGTTCTGAAACAGTATCTGGAATCCCAAAATGAGAAGCTCTGAATGGAAATCAACTCAGTTGCTACTTTCCCTGTTGTACTTTTCTCTCTGTTCTAGTTGGTTAATTTGGGGGACCGTTAATGGACACAACTGACTTCAAATCAACAGGCTTCATAATCAAGTTAAGTTGATAATTATAATCAACTTAATAATCCAGTTAGCAATTCGAGTAACCTAAAATATTGGGTCCACTCTGTCAGATCTAGAGTTTTTTTTGCAATATCGAGAACACATGGTATGACCTCTAGAACAAAAAGTGAAAGTCCAGGAGGAGACAATAAATGTTTGCTGGGCAATTGCTACATGCTCACTCTACTTTACTCTCCCTTCCTTTTAAAAAGTGTACAACTTTATTAATTTCCATGCACTGAACACATGGGACCAACATCCAGACCAAAATACAGTATTTCCAGCACTCACAAGCCTCCATGGGCTCCCTTCCAGAAGCGGTCCACTGACTTCTTATAGCAGAGATTCATTTTGTCTACTTTTGTCCATAAATGGATTCATATAATATGTACCTTTTGTGGGTTGTTTCATTTTACATTATGTTTGTGAGACTCACCATATTGGTGTATGTGGTTTCTATTCTACTTATCCTTCTGAGTAGAATTTCCTCGTTTGTTTTACAGAAAGAAGAATGGAGGCTTAAAGATTTCAAGGAACTTACCAAGGCCACACAGCTGGTCAGGGACTGAGGCAAGAGTCACAGCTAGATCCCTTTCTACTCTGCTCCAGACATGAGGTGTGTTAGTTGTCTTCCTTAACCCCAAAACCAGAATCTGTAAACCCGAACAATACTATTCCTTTCAACTTGATTTGGAAGCAGGATCTGTTTAAAAAGCAGCAGGAAATTTTACCTTCTGCTTTAGATAAGGTTCACTGCAAACAGTAAGATTTTCTGGATAACAAAGTATCTAGAATTAGGATCTCCCTTGACAAGGTTTTAGCAAGATGCCCAGTTGCAAAAGTCAGCCTTGGTGATTAACTATATCATGTATTTTCTAAACAGAGGACAGCTTATAAATTCTTACAGAAATAATTCTCGATGGGCTGGAGGGGCAGCAAAAAGAGAAGCTGAGGAGAAGAGGGTCTCCCATTAGGAACCACTGTAACATGAAGCACGTATTTCTTTAAACAAATGGATGCAGATTTTATCTATCTATCTATGGCTGTGTTGGGTCTTTGTTGCTGCGTGTGGGCTTCTCTTTGTGGTGGCTTCTCTGGTTGCAGACCACAGGCACTAGGTGCACAGGCTTCAGTAGTTGCAGCACGTGGGCTCAGTAGTTGTGGCGCACGGGCTTAGTTGCTCCACGGCATGTGGGATCTTCCCGAGCAGGGATGGAACCCGTGTCCCCTGCATTGGCAGGCGGATTCTCAACCACTGCGCCACCAGGGAAGCCCTAAACTCTTTATTTTGGAATAATTTTAGATTTAAACAAAGTTACAAAGGCAATACAGCCAAACATCTTACATTATCATGATCTAGTTGTCAAAATCAACCACTTACAGGGACGGGTGCGCTACTATTAATGAAATTCCAGACTCCACTTGGATTTCACCCGTTTTTCCACTAATTTCCCTTCTCTGTTCCTTTCTCTGTTTCACCAGTTTTGCCACTAATTTCCCAACTAAAGCCAACAGTCCATTTAGTTGTCAGGTCTCCTTAGTCTCTTCAGGTTTGTGGTACCGTCTCAGTCTTTTCTTATTTCCTGTGACCTTGACAGTCCTGCGCAGCGCCAGCCTACAGCAGAACGTCCCTCAGTTTGGTTTGTCTGATGCTTTTCCTCATTACTCTGGGGTTAGGGTTTTGGGAAGAAGACCGCAGAGGAGAACTGCCCTCTTCCCATCCGATCGTATGACTTATCACTGGTGATGTAACCTTGAGCACTGGGTTAAGGAGTGTTTGCCAGGTTCTTCCACTTTGAAAATTTTTTGATGAGCTCCAAGGCAATGAAGCTTTAACTCTCATCACCAAGAGTTACCTGGATAAACTGGAATAGGTAGAAGTGGGTCCCTCAAGCAGCCTCTGTCACTCTCCCTGCCTGAGGATGAGCAGGGTACAGGGGGGTCATCCCTGACCTTCACTGCATTCAGGTTCTCCAACGCAGAGGTGAGTGCGTGCATCACCAGGAGAACGCTTTGAGAGTTTCTGATCTGGCAGGCTTGGCATGGAGCCCAGGCTACCGTATTTTAATGAGTTCCCAGGTGATTCGGAGTTACACTAGCTTTTTAGAATCAGCTCAGATTTTTTTTTTTTTTTTCAACTGAAAA